TAAAAATTGGTTGATTTAGACATTGTGCTTTGCAACCAAGAAATGACAAGCACACTCAGCAATGGTAGTGATGATAAGATGGACCATTTTCACAGCCTGAATGCCCTCTCTGCTTCTCCTCTTAGGCAAACTCTGCTCTGTCCCTGGTACTGCAAGCAGTGTCACCTCTTCTGGGAAGCCCACCCATCCCGACAGCGGCTCCACATCCCACTTATCTCCACCTTTCCCATCCTCCTGATGCCTTTGGAGGTGTCTGCATGCATGAAGCACCCCACCTAGGTAAGCACCCTTTGCAGTAGTTATACACCTGTTTAACCCCCTCTTAACTGGTGAGGCTGGGACAGGTGACTTGCTTCTAATAAATGGAATATGGCCAAAGAGGCAGGATGCCACTCCTGGGATTAGGTTATACAAAGACTGTGACTTCCATCTTGGGCGCCCCCCTCTCACTCCCTCACTCTGGAGAAAGTGGCTGCCATGTCTTGAGCTGCCCTATGGAGACACCCCAGTGGCAGAGATCTGAGGGGGCTGCTGCGCCACAGTCAGCGAGGAACTGAGTCCTTGAACTGAGGATCTGAATCCTGCTGGACCACCTGGAGGACCTGAAATTGGGGCCTTCCCTGGTTGAGACTTTGGATGAGACACATCCCAGCCTGACAGCAGGACTGTAATCTCATGAGAGAGCTTGAGCTAGAGGTTCCAAGGGTAGCTACACCTGGCCTCCCAACCCAAGGAGCTGTGACATAGTAAATGCTCATTGTCTCAAGGGGTTATATTTGGGGATAATCTGCTAGACAGCGTAGACAGCTAGTGTACCTGCTCTGGTCTCTGTTCTTGCAACAATTGCAGGGACCATCTTTGCAAGAATTCCAACTGAGTTTGTGCAGTGAAGCCTGACTGTGCCTCTCAACCTAGTAATTCATCTGTAATACAGAAGTTTTAGAGAATTACTTCCCTGTGGGAGGAATATTTTCCCAAAGGGAAAGGGAAATCAGTAGATACCCTCTTCCCCCTTCCGTCCCTTGAATGGGCTACTCTGTAGGTAGTGGTCATATGGCCTGTCAGAAGATGGTCTGTTGATCAAAAAGTTGATTGTCTTTGATATCAAGTGTTGGCCAGGTTGGTTAATGAATTGTATAGACTCTCCTTCCATGCTTTTTCCTATTTTCCTTCACCCTCCACCCCTGGATCAAATTTTTCATAAGATAGTAGCACAAAAGTCTGTATCTCAGGCTCCCCTTTTATGGGAAAGCAAGTTAAAGCACATGTGTTCCTTGAAAGCTACTGTAAAACTCTCTGGATGTGAAGCTTCCTTGTGGGAAGACCTTGACTTCCACCTAATTTTATTTTATGATTTTTTTTTTTTTTGGCTATTTAACTTTCTATTGTTTTCAGATTGATTTTGGTCAGTTATGTTTTCCTAGGAACTAGCCTGTTGCTTGTGATATTTGAACTAATATTTTTCACAGTTCTTGAAAGTGACAGAAAGTGAAAGTCAGTAAGTCGTGTCCATCTCTTTGCGACCCCATGGACTCTACAGTCCTTGAAATTATCCAGGCCAGAATACTGGAGATGGTAGCCATTCCCTTCTTCAGGGGATCTTCCCAACCCAGGACTGAACCAGGGTCTCCTGCATCTCAGGCCGATTCTTTACCAGCTTAGCGACCAGGGAAGCGCACAGTTCTCAGCAACAATTAAATTAATAGATATGAATAGATTACCATAGAGTGTGGCATGTTCTTCAGGCACATGTCTCTTCCTTAACAATATTAGTATAAGAATTTTTAAGTTAGGTGTTCCCTGCTGTGGAATGAAGGGGCACAAATGTGCCCTGTGTGATTTCCCCTTGCAGATCAAGGTCATTTGCATTGATTAGAACGTTGCTGTTGTTGTTCAGTCGCTCAGTCATGTCTGACTCATGGACTGAAGCACGCCAGGCTTCCCTACCCCTCCCTGTCTTCCAAAGTCGGCTCAAACTCATGTCCATTGAGTCAATGATGCCATCCAACCATCTCATCCTCTGCCGCCTCCTTCTCCTTTTGCCTTCAATCTTTCCCAGCATCAGGATCTTTTCCAGTGACTTGGCTCTTTTTATCAGATGGCCAAAGTATTGGCGCTTCAGCTTCAGCATCAGACCTTCCAATGAATATTCAGGGTTGATGTCCTTTAAGATTAGCTGGTTTGATCTCCTTGCTGTCCAAGGAATTAGAACATGACACTGCCTAAATTTCAGTTCTCAACAATAACTAGCCTGTCACCACTGGGATAGACTCCAACCAGCTGGACCAGGCCCTGAGGTAAACAGAGCAGCATATGGTCCTATTTGGTTAGTGAGAAAATCATTGTAACTGAGCATGTGTTTTGGGGAAGATGAAGGCGTATAGGTTCCAGAGTGATTTTGTTTCCAGAAGAATAAGAAAGGCTTTTAGTTTCACTGAGTCAATTAAGTTGTCAATACTTACCAGATGATACCCCAACATGCCATGTTGAATGTATTTTCTGTACCTCTCAGTCGAGAACATGGAGAGGTTGATCCTCATAACCTGCACCTGTCCTGTCCTTGCTGCAATGAGATGGAGTCCTTGGTTCTCAAGACCCATTGGGGAACACCTGGGCAGGGGTAGTCATGGAGGTAGGACCCAGAATTTTAACCAATTTCTGTTGCAGCCTGGGGTCTCACTATTACACACAGTGACCCTCATCATGAAACAGCAAGCCTTGAATATTGGCATTTTAGAGCAGCAGTAAACTTGCCAATCTTTCTCTACATTAGTTTCTTTACAACATAGTTTGATTGGAAGTTTTGTGGAAACCACTTGCAGTCACTGGGCCTCAGTTTCTACATGTGTAAACTGGAGATTATGTCTTGACCCTGTTTGGCAGGCCCAAAAAAGACACCAGAAGAAGGAAATAATGTATCAGAATTCCTGGGACTTTCGATCCTACCTTTCCTGGGGATCATCTTCCAGCTTCCCATGTCTATCCTTTGTTGGTACTAAGCTTGCATCCATTTCTCTCCTTTGCTGCCTGTCTGTAGGGCTCCATTATCCCAGAGATTCCTAAGGTATGCCCCATGCTGAGGTTGCTTGTGTGTCTCGCGTCCTCCTCTAAGGGGCTTCCCCCAAGGGAGGGGACTATAAAGGTTTCTAGCCCACAGCCCAGCACAATACCTGCATCTGACATTCACACACTTGGCCTTGCCTCAGTGAATGGATGAATAGATATATTCAGGTATTGTATTTCCAGTGGTAGCTACGGATTTTAACAGGGTCCTCTGGGAAAAAGTATGAACCAAAAGTTGATAAGCTATGATGGTAGAAACACCATGCTACATGACAAGATCCCACGGAAATCCAAAGGGCAGGTGCCATAGTTGGGACTTACTGCAATTTACCAGTGAGACATCGACCCAATCAGGCCAGTGTTGGGCAGCCCTGGGAACTTTCAGGTCAGAGGGATGTAAAGTACTGGTGACAGTTGAATATCACTTTCTCCAAAAGGACTGAAAATGAGAAGAGATGAAGGGAGAAGGAAATGTACAAACACAGGTGAAATGTTCTTTGTTTCTATTGAGTTTTAAGAACTTTTGAAGTTTTGTTTTTCATATAATTCAGAGCTTCTCAGGCCGAAGGGATACACGATTTGATTAGAGTGAAGACAATGGACCAGTGTGTATTTCAGACTGCCAATCTTATTGTTTCTCCCATTAGAATGGGTGGGGTCACAGATGCCCCTGACATCTACTCTAGCCCTCCTCTTTACTAACTCTTTGCTTCCCATTAATAATTTTCAATCTAATCAATGAAAGGTAAGCAACTGCTCTGACCACCCCCTTTGCCCTGTAGAAAACCATCATGTCATCTTTATGGACTCCTGTGCATCTATATGCCACATCCCTGGTGGATAAGGAGGTTGGAGGGCCACTTGGTCACTGGCTACTTTCTCCACTTCACTCTCCTCATACCCACTGATCTTGGACTTGTGGCCTTTCCAGAGAGAAGGGGTCATTCTTTGGTCGGGAATCTATAACTGCTGGACACTGAAGACCCTGAATCGCTGCCATTGGTGCAGCCATCAGCACATGGTCCACGTCCTGCCTCTCCTTCTGGGACCCTCTTGTCAACAGCATCCTGACGGATCCACCTGAATGTGCAGGGATGGTGGCCAAGGCCGGCCAGCTCCTCTTGTTGGGTGACTGATCCTGGGAGATGATGTGGTCACCAAACAGCCACAGGGAACAGATACACAGAGGCCCAGGGTCCTTACTACACAAACTCAAGTCCACTCTGCAGAAAGCACTCGGCTACCAGCCAGGGACACAGGGTGACTTTTACTCAGGCTGTAACCAAGGTCTCAATACGTTAAGGGGAATAGATGTGGAAATCAACAGTGGTTCTGGAGAATATTAGAACCGTAATAGAATTGTGTGCAGGGGATACAGTTGCCCAGAAGAGGAAGTGGTTATTCCTGTTTAAGGAGGTTGGTTAACAGTGTCTCAAAACCATGTTCTTTCTGAGTTGGAATTTGAAGGATGACTCGGTGCCTCATAGGAAAACAAGGGTATCAAGGTTGAGGAAGGTGTTTGGGTAAAGATCTGTAGACCTAGCTTGTTTGAATGATCTCAAGTATTAAAGTTGAGGCAGTTACAGAGATAGAATTTAGAGAATATTTATTGCTAGTGGTTTTATTTGAACTTTATTTGAGTTTTCCTAACCTTTGAACTTACTGATAACACTGATTGAGTTGTTATTGAATTCCCAGAGAACATGAACACAAGGGAGGTCAAAAGGTAATGTCCATGATGCTTTCCCAAATATCAAGGCTGCAGGTGGAGCCCAGGTATCCCTTCACTGGCTGCAGCTCCAGCTCCACCCACTCCCCAGCACATAAACATTTCATTGCTTCATTGGATCACCACAGAGCATGAAAGGAAGCAAGTGAAGAGGAGCACATAGAGCTGAGAAGAAACTCAGAGGAGGGAATCCCAGAGGAGAGTGGCCATGGAGCTGATCCCAAGCTTTTCCGTGGAAACCTGGGTTCTCCTGGCTACCAGCCTGGTGCTCCTCTATGTGTGAGTAACTGTAAAGTCTGATCTTTGCAACCTTGGACTTGCGTGGTCATGAGGTCCCACTTTCCCTTTAGTGTTTTGAGGATTAGTTTATGGAGTGCAAGTAGCTTAAGCTATGGATGCTACAGACACCAATGGGGTTATTATGGATCTTAACTCAGTTCTGTTGAAGGAGCAAACAACCAACCCTCGCCCCCAGCCCTGGCAGTTACAGTTACAGTCTTTTCTGTAACTACAAAGACTCAGCCACAGTGGAGCAACTAAGCATTCACACAGAGAGTTTAGTGATGTTATTTGTTCCCAGGGATGATAGACTACTAATTTTCATGGACCCAGACTGATCAACCAGAATCCACCAGGGGAAGATTTAAAGAAGCTAGTTCCTGTGCAGTGGGGTACTCTCCCCTTCTCTAGTTCTGGGGATCCTGGAGACATAAAGTAACTTGGGATTTGTCTCCTTATCTTCACCTTCTTGGTCCAGTATCTGCTATAAGAAGAGTGTTGAAGGAATAGCCCCTGTGTCACTCAAGGGGTTCCTGCTCCTTTCCTTCCCTCCCCAGATGGCATTTCCACAAGGCACTTGGTCACCCAGAGCTGGAGACTGACCACCCTTCGGATCAGCTCTTCCCCTTTTCTATGCCCTCCCCATGGCACTCCTGCCAAGACTCAATTCCCTCAACCTGTACTATGCAGAACTACCTACCCCTAAGTGAGAAATCTTTAGTGGAGAGGAGACTTGGAAGAAACCCTGAAATTATATTCATTTCTTTCAGCTATTCCTCCCTTCTCTGAGAGCTTTAACATCAGCATAAATTTGAGAGTTTATGTAACACATTGAAAATGCAGAAGGAAAATTGATTTGCTCTTGTTGTGATGGCAAAGGAAGGAACTGGGGTGGAAATAGTTCATCACACCCATTTTGAGAGTAAGTGTCCATACCTCCACCACCTGCCCTGGAGGACGGATCCAAATATCCAGGTGGGCTTGGCCAAGGTGCATCTGCTGCATCTTCAAGCACAGTTTCCTTCAGGCAATTTTGGGGTTTACTTACCACATTTATTTATTACCACATTATCCTATAAGATTTGGTGGATTTGAACAGAATATTTGGAGCTTGTAAGACCTTAAATGGTAAACTTCATAGAAGAAATTAAACATTCTGGAACATTTTCTGCTTATTTATTCTGTGTTGCACAATACCTCTTTTCTTCACTGCAGGAAAGTACCTTAAGTTTGGAAGGCCCACTTGTAGCTAAAAGTGCTTGGAGGGTAATGTTGGACCATTTATACACAGCATGCTTTACAGTCATACCTCTCTAACTTGCCTCTACAGAATTAGCCTGGGAGGCCTAGCAAACTTGAACATTAAAACCATTTTCAGCAACTTTTCCCCTCAGCCCCCTCTTCTCCTCCAGTCTGCCAGTTCTCAGAAACACCAGATTGAGAAGACCTGCAAGATTTCACAACCTTGGTTGTGAGATTCCACACAGGACATGTGAAGATGAGTTTCAGGTATACCAGCCATAGAAAGCAGCAGGCTTTATGGCTTTTTGAGAGCTGATGCACAGAGGAAGTAAGCAAACTAATCTGTGATTGAGCATCTCAAAGCAAAACCCAAAAAAAAGAGTGTGCCTTGCACAAAGTTTACAGGTGAGTGTCAGAGGTTGGAAAATCAGATACCATTTGAGTAAGAATGAAAGGATGGAAATGCATCCTTTACTCATTGTTTCATTTATACAGTTCCATTCAGGGACAGTAAAGTCTATCACCCTTGTCTGTAGGGCATGTCACCAAATGGCCTGACAACAGAGACTTGAGTGTAGCTGAAAGTTGCTTGTATTTCCATGATGTCAATGGAAATCTTGATAAATTTGTCCTTTTTCTTTTTAACAAGAGAGTAGGATTTATTGATGGGTATGAGTAAGGAGGGGACAGCACCAAGGCTCTGATGCGTGCAAGGCCTGTCATTTATCCAGAGGGCCAGGATTAGGGATGTGTTTGACCTCACAGCCACCCTGGATGAACTGCTTTTCTGCCACCATATTTTCGGATTCATCTGTAGTAAACTTAGGAAAAAACCCACTTTTTGGAGATATGGATCTTCTGGTGACCAGTGAACTTGAATTTGGCCCTGCAGATGGCCTCAGTCACATGCTCCTTGTTCTGCAGCTTGGTGCGGACGGACACTATGACTCGGCCAACGTGGACTTTGGCCACTGTGCCCTGGGGGTTTCCAAAGACACGATGCATACCTGTCTGGAGCTTAGACTGGGGCCAGCATGTCAGTCATGAAATGTCCACTGGAAAAGTCTGGCTCCAAGGTCCCTTAGGGCAACCAGGCTCGTACACGACCGAGGACGCTGCTGTTTACAGCCATTGCACAAGCCACAGTTTGTATTTTACAGAAATAAGAACACTGTTATTCTCTAAGACTTGATTATGAAGATAGATTTAAGAAGAATTAAATCCTAAAGTCTGGTCAGGACATAGAAGGAAAGAAAAGCACAAAATCTCCATGCAGATTTTAAGAACGATGTCACAATGGGCTCACAGTAAGTGTTATGTTGTGGATTAATTTAAGCAAAATCTCTTTATTGAAATGCATAAATTTCCACTTTCTACCTAGAATGAGAATCTCCAAATCATCTAAAGGTCAACTTACTAAATAAATATGAGTGAATTGCAGAACTGCAGCCTGAACCCCTTAGGACCACTCAAATTAGAAACATTTATCAAGTATTCACTCTAGGATTAGACCCATGAAGACTTCAGCTGCTTTTAGCTAATCACCATTACCATTTCCCACTCCAGTACTCTTGCCTGGAAAATCCCATGGATGGAGGAGCCTGGTAGGCTGCAGTCCACAGGGTCGCTAAGAGTTGGACATGACTGAGCGACTTCACTTTCACTTTTCACTTTCATGCATTGGAGAAGGAAATGGCAACCCACGCCAGTGTTCTTGCCTGGAGAATCCCAGGGGAGGGGGAGCCTGGTGGGCTGCCGTCTATGGGGTCGCACAGAGTCAGACACGACTAAAGTGAATGCAGCAGCAGCAGCAGCATTACCTTTTATGGGTTGTATAATTGTGGTGGGCAAGGATAAGATGAGTGAAGGTAACATCACTTTTGGAGTTGCTGATATTATGATCATGTCCATGTTACCTCCCTAGTTTGACGATTCCAGTTCTCAGTCAGTGACCAACCAGCTCCAGGACTTATCCCACAGTACCTGTCATCTGGCTTTCTATTTCACTTTATAGATATGGGACTTATTCATATGGACTTTTTAAGAAGCTAGGGATTCCTGGACCAAGACCTGTGCCCTATTTTGGAAGTACTCTGGCCTACCACAAGGTACGTGTTGCTTAAATTCCCTCTTTTGATTCTCATGGTTGCAAACCTCAGATAAGTTCCATAGTAACACAGTCCCTCCTCAGAAGGAAGTTCTGAGGCTTTACACTTTCCAGAAGTGATATCATGTGCCCCACCTAGCACATGGCCAATTTTACCACACACCTCTCTCTTTAGCTGTTAGGATCCTCAGATTTTGTCTCAGTCAGATAGACAAGTTCTTCGGCTGATTCAGCAGAGGGCCTGATGTTCCATCTTGTGAGTACTGTGAAGAGAGTTTGCGTCCTGCCAGGTAAGGTTTCCCATTAGGACACATTCTTCATTGTATTAGAAGGAAAGCTTGAACAGGGTGCCCAGTCATGACTTACTAAGCTGCATATGCTAGAGTCAGAACTTTCCTAATGGTAGCAGAAGCTCTGGGTTGCATTTTTTTCTTCCTCCTCGATTGCTTGGTAGCTTCAGTTTTTCAGGCAGCCTGTGTACTCAATGGGGCTTCTCTGGTGGCTCTGATGGGGAAAAAAAAAATCATTATCAGGTAATGTGCACATACTTGAATTATCTGGTAGTTCCTGCAGTTATCTCCCTGGCTCTCCTCCACTTCTGCTAGCCCTGATGTCTTCTGCATTTTGAGGAATGTAACAAGAGCTTTTTGCTTTATCTCTGTGTATCCAAAGGAAGCACTTTTGGGGCATATCTGAGCCATGAGTAGGTTTAACAGAGACAAGATGGCGGTTGTCTAGTTACTTCAGGTCTTTAACCACTAAATATATTATGGAGTTTAAAAAAAAAGAAAGAATCACATATACAAAATCACTAGAAATTATATGACTTGACAACATTATTGAAATTTAGTTTAACTCAATAGAATATAGGTAGCACATGGATTGTGAATTCTAACTGAGCCTTGACATTAACTGAAGGTCGTGAGCTACGTACAGATGTCCGGGGCAGAGCTCTGTCACACGCTACTCTCTGCCTCAGATTTCCTTTCCTGCAGACAAGAGGTTTGTTTCTCAGACACTGATTCTCCAAACAGAGGCCTTCATTGTCTCATTACTGCCTAAGAACTCTTGAACTTTTCTCCTTCTAAAAAAAGCAAGATTTATTTTCTCTTTCCCGGTGACTCCTTAGTAGATGTACTCCATGCCCAATGTTCATCACAGCAGAAACTTAATAACAGGAAGGTTGTTTTTTTGTTTTTGTTTTAGTCGCAGAAGGGAAAATTCAGGGCAGGTTGTTTAGGTGGTGTTGTCATTTTTGTAATTGTGACCTCTGCCCATCTTTTCTGTGTTAGCTGGAAAACTAGAAGGTGAGTCCACTTGTCATTTGTTCATTCACTCACTTATTTTCTCACTCAACACACATGCCTTAGAATTATTTAAATGGGCTGGACGAAAAAGGTTACTGGTGTCTTTAACTTGTAATTCTTCTGGAACTCTAGAGAGGGCTCATGAGATAAATGAGAAAGTATGCTTAACTAGGAGATGCAAGTGTATACAGGCTGCTCTAACTTTCCCTCAGCTTCAGTTTTCTCATCAAAGACAAGGAGGTACTTAGTATTCACAGGCAAGTTAAACAATTAGTATCTATAGTAGTTAGAGAAGATGCAAGAGTTATTTTGATTTCTGTTTCCAATATCCACTCTATTTCCTCTGAAATGTCTCTGAATAAGAACTTCCCTCCAATTACCCATGAAAATAGTAAGCCTGATTAAATGTTTCAAACATTCTTATCCCCAAAGAGGTAGATTTCAATACATTTAGATTAATAATCAAATTTTATTTCTTTTTGCAGGGTATTCCAGAATTTGACAATCGGTGTTTTAAAAAGTATGGGAAAATGTGGGGGTGAGTTTTCTGGAAGCTTCCATTGATTAAATTTGTTATAATGAGGCACCCCCTGTGGTGTGGAGGACAGGCTCAGTCCAGAGCCTCTTGGGATGAAGTCATTTAGTTTAAAGCTTTTGGAGGTTTGTTCTACCAGGAATCCCAGATGTCACCAGGTCCATAGGCTGAATCAGGTCTGGAGAATCACAGGTCATCACTTTTCTCCAGACTTTGAAGCCCATGGACTCCTAGTATCACTTTCTGTCTAGTATTTCACTCTTCTCCCCTTTTCAATTTTCCTTTCTAATGTTACCTTTAATTGCATAATATGCATTTTTCCAGAACATTCTAATATATGTCCATAAAGGCATTTTATAACCCTTTTCCATAGGATTCACTTTTAATTGATAGACAAAATCTTTTATTTAAATTTTGGATTTAATATATTCTCTTGGCAAAAGAGCTGGAGGTCATAGGTAATAAGAATAGGAAACCATTTTTGCTCATCTTTTTCCTTTCTGTATGAGTCTGGGGGATATTTTTTATTTTGCTTTTAATTTTCAGCCAAGACATTCCAATAGAATTGCATTCAGTAATTGTTTTGTCTAGTATTTTTCTCTTACTTTGAAGAGATATGGGGTTTACCTAAGCCAGACTGTGTCACATGGGCAGTTTAGGATCTGTTGGAGGTTTGGTGAGAGCAGTAGGAAAGGTGTCATTGGTGCTTCTTTGCCAAAAGCAAGTTGGAGAAGGCCCTCCCTCTCCGGATCTCTTCATCTTCTCTGATCGGGTCCTCAGAAACCATAGGGCCCTACTGAGTTGCCATGACCCCGAAAGGTAATGTGATTGAATGGGAAAAATACATAGCACTGGATCTCCACTGGCCCAGCTCCAACTGCCCCTCCCACATTTACTACTTGTGAACTCTGGGTGGAGTCACTTTTTCATGGTAGATCCCAGTTCTCTCTTTAGAAAATTGTTCTCATGCTTGGATTTAAATGAGGACCACCTGAGAGAGCTTGTTATAAATACAGACTTTGACCCCCCTCATCAGTACACCAAATCAGTATGATGTGGAGTGGGGTCCAGGAATCTGAACTGTAACTGGTAGTGAAAGAAATACTAAGGCTGGAGTGACGTCATGTATATAAAGGGTCACCCAAAACACTAGCCCTTCTCCACCCAGGTGTTGTTTAAAAAGCTTGATGGGAAGAAGGGAATCATCCAAGGTCAGTCAGGTGGAAGAGCAGATTAAGTGCCTCCTCAATCCCTCCTGTCACTGCTTCAGTACTGAATGCTCTTGACACCCACTTAGACCCTCTGGGTTTTAGAATGGTTTTTGGAAATGGGCAGAAAAAAGTGCAGTGGTTCTCAGCAATTTTTACATGTGATCACAAAACCATTTGAAATTCATCTGTGAAGTCAAAGGAGGAATAGGAGACTTGTAGAAAATTTTCCAATTTGTTCTAGCCATTGCAAATGATTGATAGTGAGGGGGAAATGCCAGAAGATAGTGTAAATAACTCAGAGTAAACTTCATGCCAGTGGCCCATTCCCATGAACAGGCATCCTGACAGTCAGGAGATCAGGCCAAATTGGGACGTGTCATATCTGAGGAGTCAGCTTTGTGTGGTAGGTGGGTCAAACGTGGGCCTGCCGAGCTGCTGATGGATGTCACCTGCATGGAGCCTGAGGCCCACGGGACCCATGCAGAAGAATAAATATAAGTAATGGAAAGAAAATTTTTTCTTTTTTTAAAATTAATTAAAAATAATAATTTCCTTTAAAGTAAACTATAACATAAGCAAATTTTAGAGAATAGAAAAATCTTTTACAATTCTATTATGATTTGTGGAGCATTCCAAATCTTTCTGTTTGCAGAAAATTGTCACATATTTATGGTCAGTGTGTCTACAAGTTTCATGTGCCTTTTTCACGCTTTTGATATATCTTCAAAAATTAGTGGGTAGACTGTCCCTAATTAATTATTTTTTCATTCTTAGACAGTTTTATTGGCTTATTTACTAAGCTAACTTCCCCATTGATACTGAAATGTTTTAAACCTAGAAAAGTTATGAGAATAGTATAGGAAATACCCACGTACATAACACTTAGACCAAACAAATGTTCTAATGTTATTTCTAACCACAATTTCTAGGAGTAAGGATTACCTATAATAATATCAGAATGATAGTCTGGACTTACAGTGTGACTCCAGCTGGGGAATCTGTATCAGTAAATTTAATTAGATCTCCTTTCCTAACACAGGTTTTATGAAGGTCGACAACCTATGTTGGCTGTCACAGATCCAGATATAATCAAAACAGTACTAGTGAAAGAATGTTACTCTGTCTTCACAAACCGGAGGGTAAGCATCCGTTTCTTTAAGTTTAAATTTTATTTGCTTATTAAATACTTATTCTGTAATAATTTTAAGTATACAAGATGCTGTTGAGAGACAAAATACAGAAAGGTGCTATGTTCTATACCCTTCATCCTGTTTCCCTCAATGGTTAGTACTTGCATAATTATAGTACATCAGAGTAGGAAGTTGACACTGATACTATCCACAGTGCTTATGCAGATTTCATCAGTTTTATGAGAATTCATTTGATGTGAGGGAGGGTGTCTGTGTGTGTGTTGCTCTATGGAAATTTATCATAGAGGTAGATTTGTATAACCACCACCACAATAAATGTACAGAAACCTTCCGTCCCCATAAGCTCCCTCTGTGTGTCTGTGTGTGCTCAGTTCTGTCTGACTCTGTGACCCATGGGCTGTAGGCCATGGAATAGAATCTTCCTGGCAAAAGTACTGGAGTGAGTTGCTGTTTCCTCCTCCAGGGGTTCTTCCTGACCCAGTGACTGAACCCTCGTCTCTTATGTCTCCTGCATTGGCAGGCAGATTCTTTACCACTGTGCCACTTGAGAATCCCAAGTCTCCCTCTTTAACTATTCATTTATAGCCACAGTGAATGGCTTGTCTTTTCCTCTTATCAGGGTTTTAGTAGAGCAAAAATTTTTATTTTCATGAGGTCAATTTATTCTTTTATTTATTTATTCTGTTTTACTCTTTGTTTGACTGTGCTGTTGTAACTGTTGCATTTTTTTAGTTCGTTTATCATTATACTCTAAAGTTTCAAATTTTCTACATTTTAAATATAATATCTCTTTGGTGAACATCTTATTTCATTTTTGTACTTGGAAAATTTGGGTATATTGTTATCCTTTGGGCTTCCCAGGTGGCACTAGTGATAAAGAACCTACCTGCCAATACAGGAGACATAAGAGGCAGGGGTTCAATCCCTGGCTTGGGAAGACCCCCTGGAGGAGAGCCTGGAAACCTGCTCCAGTATTCTTGCCTAGAGAATCCCATGGACAGAGGAGCCTGGTGGGCTACAGTCTATAGGGTCTCAAAGAATCAGACACGACCAAAGTGACTTAGCACACATAGCACACATGCTGTGTTTCCTATAGCTCTGAATTTCTTTAGGACAATTATTTTGAATTCCTTTTCAGGCAGTTAGTAGATGTTCATTTCTTTGGGATGACTTACTGGACACTTATTATCTTCCTTTGGTCGTATCGTGTTTCCTTGATTCTTGGTGACCCCTTATCGTTCACTGGTGTCTATGTCTTTGGAGAAGCAGTTACTTTTTCTAGGCTTAATCAACTAAGTTTGATAAGGAGGAACTTCACTTGTGATGGAACACACTGAAGTGTGCTGAAGCCATCAGTCTAGTGGCACTGGGTGCCAAGTGTGGGGGGTGGGGTGGGGTGGGTCCAATCCCAAGGGAAAATGGTTGGCTCTGGCAGCTGGGTCCAGAACACCACCAACTACATGATGTTTGACACCAATAACTGTGGAGAGTCCGAGGTGGCTCCAGGGATGGTTGAGGTCTTCAGCAGCACACCCAAGTCCAGTGTTAAGGGACCAGGGCAAGCAGAGTGGTAGCCAGAATTGCGGGGCATGCTCATCTGTGTGGGCTGACTACAAGCACACGCCCAACATGAGGACTGCGGTCAGTGGCTGGGGCTGGGTCAAGTGTGGGCACAGAAGCAGCTTTGAGTTCTGGACTGTCAGTGTGCACGCGTGTGGCCGCAGGGACGAGCTACACGCATGTGTGGGATTGCTGGCCAGTGACAGGAGTCAAGACTGGCTCCAGGCATCTGAGCAGCTACGCACTTGTTGGTGTGGGTCCTGGATCTCAGGGCATCACTGACTGGAGCAGCTCTGTTGGGGGCGGAGGGACAAGACAGGACTCAGGCAATCGGAGTCTGCTAATGTAGAACCTCGGGGAGCGATCAGCAGCAGAATTTTCAGGGGTCTTCAGTGACTGTGCTGACAGTTGGTTTCCTCATAGTAAAGGTTCTGGGGGTGTTTTGCAGAGCAGGATACAGAGAACCCCAGTCACTCCTGCTGTGTGGTTGACACTGACACCCCTACCCTTCTTTCTTTGCTCCTAGTTCTCTCTGGATGTCTCAGCTTTGCTAGTCTCTGGGTGGGGTGAATCCAAAGCAGGTCATTTGTGCAGTGTTCTGAAAAGCTAGGGAAACTAATAACTCACCCTGTGGTCCTCTTTCCAGTAAGGAGAACTGTTTCAGGCTGGGGAGGCTCCTCTGGGCACTGAGCAGTCTGGCCTGGAGGACAGGATGACTCAGGCAAAATGAAGCTATTTTCTTTACCAGTTTGTGGGTTATCCTCAAGTTTTTTCACTGCTATGTTGCTGAAGCTTCTGGACTCCTGACGTCTCTTAGACATGTTTTCATTTATTTTGCACTAACTGTTATTTGTGGGGTGAGAGAAACTGGAGTCTCCTCTGCCATCTTGGTGATATCACTCCAGATTTCATCATTACTGTGCTTTTAACTATAGGATTTTCTTTTTGTAGATGCTCTTTATCATGTTGTATAAGTTTTCTTCTCTACCTAGTTTGTGACTTTCTATCATGAATGGGTGTTGGAGGTGTCAATTTTAAAACAGAATATTTGGAATATGGAAAAATGTCTCAAGCAATGTCCCAAGCTGAGAAACAGAATTATATCTTTCCTTTTCCTTCTATTCCTGGGGGGAAAACAGAAGAAAAAAGTATTTTCATACAATTGTAACATTTCTTCAGAATAGCAAATAGATTTCTTATTTTTGATGTATTCTACTTTTATTTTTAAAAAGTCCTATATCAAGAAATGTTTTGAATCCACTTGCTCTAGATATGTAAAGAAAGAACTGGTCTGAGACAACATACATTTGTCAAAGCTATCAGCTCTCTGTCACTAGTTGGTTCCCTTGTACTCTGCACAGACCAGGAGGACGAACTAGGTCTTATTCCTGCCTATTCCCTTGGGAAAACCCTTTCTATACTACATGGGTCATTTGCACTTAATAGGATACTGAAATATGAAATTTGGAAACCACATCAAGTGGCTGGATGTCTCTCCTCCACACTCACAGAAATCTAGATATTTTGGATAAATATTTACTAAGCATCTAGCATAGGGTCTGCTACTAAGTAGACAGTCACTAAATATTAGTTGAATAATTGGTCCTTATTTAAAAAATCTTCCACAACTGTTGAGACTTCTAAAACTTATACAGGGTAAATATGCTTTGCTTTTGACTCTAGGTTTTTGGTCCAATGGGAATTATGAAAAATGCCATCTCTCTGGCTTGGGATGAACAATGGAAGAGAATACGGACGTTGCTGTCTCCAGCCTTCACCAGTGGAAAGCTCAAGGAGGTAAGAAAAGAAGAGGACTTTCAATTAGAAACTTACAGAATGACTCTAGGGACAAGTAGAAACCGAGATCATAGTCTCTTTTCAAAGAGGAGTCTGCTGACTTTGAGTTTCCTAATCTTTGTCTTTTATCTTTACAGCCTAGAGAGACATTTTTAAGATTTTTATAAAATGTCAGTTACTACTCCATGCTTAGGAAAGCCAGGTCCTTCTAGGACTTGAGTCTCCACATTTCACTTCATGAGATGATATATTTTATGTCTAGATGTTCCCCATCATTGGCCAGTATGGAGATGTGTTGGTGAGGAACCTGAGGAAGGAAGCAGAGAAAGGCAATCTGGTCAACATGAAAGAGTAAGTAGGGGTGAGGCTGCTGGTCCTCTGAGCTCCACTGAGAACTTCTCGCTGCCTACCATGGAGTCAAATTTCAACTGCATGTCGATCTAGTGAACAGGCAGAAGTAGGTTGTGTTACAAATCTAACGGGCCGCTCCAGAATGAGTGGTGTTTCATCAAAGAAAGTCGGGCAGCCAGGAGAGAAAGTGTCTTTTGTGTACATGAGCCATAAAGAGCTTATCTTCTTAACTGTGACTTTATGGATATTCCAGAAGACTAAAATACATAGTTTTGAAAAGAGAACATTATCATGCCAAAGTATTGCGTGTAGAGGGTGTGGAACAGTGGCAGAAGAAAGCTCTTGGTATATATTGGCAGGTAGTGCATTGGGCAGTAAATTTACAGTATTGAACTCGAAACAACTTAAATCTCTTCACACTTTTCCTACAGAAAATACTAAATATTAATTCTTAATCACTATTTGTTCTTCTTTCATCCTCAAAAGAGAGAAGGCCCTGTACAGGCTATGGGTGGAGTAACCATAGTCTTCCTTGCCTAAACTGAGATTTTTTTTAAAAAACCATACTATAATAACATATATAAAGGAAAACTGTCCCAGGGAAGCTGAGGACATACGATCACTTAGTCATGGGATTCCCTAAGTCAATTTGAAAGGATTTTTGTTAAACTCAGAACATTTTTAGTTCTTATAGTTCACAGAAACGACTCTTCCCTCAGGCCAACCACAGACGACTGGAGTTGAGGAAGACAGGTTTTTCAGGAGCCTTAGCAGGAGTGTAAGACAAGGAGGGATGATGTTCCTGGCAACTCAGAGCAGGGCCCTGCTGTTCTGTAATGTACTAAAGGGGAACCAGCTCTGAGTACAGGTTTTATGGTGAAGCAAGACCCAGGTCAATGTCCCCTCTCTTGACTCCCCAGGAAAAGTTGATTATTCCACACTTTGTCTTACTCAAACACAGTCCTTACACACTCATTATTGTCCATAGTCAGAACAGATTACTGTACTTACTGTCTGATTGTGTGTCTTTCTCTCTATGACAAGATCCCTGAATTCAGGGGGTAGGGGCCTTAGTGTCCCCATCTCCCTAACATAGGGCCAGCTGCATCACTCACATGTTATATACACCTCAGGAGTGAGTGATAGTAGCAGAGACTCTTCTATGATCCAGGAGGTGGTTCTGAGAGAGTGTGGCTCTTTTCCTGTCTGCCTGGGCATCGGATTTCTTGTTGCACATGTTGGACAAGGATAAAGAGATGTTGATTTTAACTGAACATGTTTTTCTCTCTCTACTAAGCATGTTTGGAGCCTACAGCATGGACGTGATTACTGGCACAGCATTTGGAGTGAATATTGATTCCCTCAACAACCCACACGATCCCTTTGTGGAATATAGCAAGAACCTCTTAAAATTTAGACCCTTCGATCCACTCATTCTTTCAATAAGTATGTGAACTACTTTATTTCTTATTCTTTATTCCTTCTTTCATCCCTCCTTTTCCTCCATCCCCTCCTTCCTTCTTTCAATCCTTCCTTCATCTTTCTTTTTTTAAATAATAGGTGTAATAAGATGCAATTCACATACCACATAATACACCAGTGTGAAATGTATAATTCATTCATTTTTACATCCTACCTATCCATCAACAAATGAAATGGACATGGAAGTTATATAGAACATTCAGCATACACAAGTGGATATTATATCTGTGTGTGTGTGTGTGTGTATATTCACAGAATTGAACATTATTCAACCAGGAGAGGAAGAAAATCCTGCCATTTGCAACAAGGTGGGAGGACCTTGAGGGTATTATGGCATGTGAAATAAGTCAAACAGAGAAAGGTGAATACTTATATAGAATTAAATTTTAAAAAAAAAAAAACAGAAACCTGGGTCTTCCCTGGTAGTCCAGTGGTGAAGGATCTGCTTCCAGTGCAGGTAACAAGTTCAATCACTGGTCGGGGAACTAAGGTCCCACATGCCAGAGAGAAAACTGAGCCCACGGCCGCAGCAGAAGCCCAGTCAGCCAACATTTGTTAAATAAATTAATTTTAAAAATCCAAACCTAAAAAACAAGAAGAAGAAAGCCAAACTCATATAAAAGCAAGATCAGATGTTTTTGTTAAGAGAGGAGTGGCTTGGATTGGTGGGAAATTGGATAAAGGTATTCAAAAGATGCAATTTTTCAGCAACAACATAAAAGTACTGGCAGTATAATGTACAATGTGAGTATACTTAACACTACTGTGATTTACTATATTTGGGATTTACTAAGAAAGTAGATCCTAAAGGTTCTCGTCACAAGGGGAAAAAAAGATTGTAACTATATCAGCTGAGGAATGTTAACTAAACTTATGGGGTTAATTTTAAAATACATGTTTGTTAAGTCATTAGTCATTACGCTCTGCCCAAATTAATACAGTGCTGTATCTCAACTATAACACGACACAATTGAAAAAGAAAGGTTTTTAGTCCTCTCAGAGATATATGTGCAACCATCACTACTGTCCATTTTTGTCAGCTCTCAAGCCCTGTACCTATCACCTTCCACTCCACTTTAGCTTCAAGCAATCCCTTGGGCTTTCCTGATGGTTCAGCTGGTAAAGAATCTGCCTGCAATGCGGGAGACCTGGCTTCAATCCCTGGGTTGGGAAGATCCTCTGGAGAAGGGAACAGCTACCTACTCCAGTAATCTGGCCTGGAGAATTCCATGGACAGTCCATGGGGTTGCAAATTGTCAGACACAACTAGCGACTTTCACTTTCTCAATCTATGTTCTGTCACTTCAAATTTGCTTATTTTAGACACTAGATATGATGGAATCATATAATATGTGGTCTTTTGTGGCTGACTTCTTTCATTTATCATGAGTAATCTAAATTGTAGCACCTATCAGTACTTCATTACTTTGCATGCCAAATAGTATTTCATTATATGGACATTCTGCATTTTGTTTACCTGTTCATCAGCTGATGAACATTTGGGTCATTCACTATTAAGTATGGTGTTAGCTTAGTTTTTCGTAGATGACTCTCAACAAGTTGAGGAAATTCCCTTCTGTTCCAGTTTGTTGAGTGTTTTTATCACAAGGGGATGTTAGGTTTTGTCACATGCTTTTATGCATCTGTTAGATGATCGCATTGTTTTTTAATTCCTTTGGTATGGTTTATTATACAACTTGGCATTCCTGGGATAAACCCCACTTGGTCATGGTGTGTGTTGCTAGATTCAGTTTCCTAGTATTTTGTTGAAGATTTGTGCATCCATGGGATAAAGTATGTTGGTCTGTACCTTCTTGTGTTATTTGTCTGGTTTTAGTATCAAACTCATACACTTTGGAAGTGCTCCAATGTCTTCTATTTTTTGGAAGAGTTTGTTTAAAAATGGGGCCAATCCTCTAAATATTTGGTAGTATTCACCATTGAAACCACCTCTACCTGAACTTTTCTTCGCCAAGCTGTGGGCTGTTTCTTGATAACTAACTCAAACTTTGTACATTTTAATAGGTATATCAGACTGTCTGTTTCTCTTTGGATCACTTTCTGCAGTTTGTGTCTTTCTGAGAATCTGTCCATTTTATCTAAATGATCTAATTTATTGTCATACTGTTGTTCCTAGATTATTTTTTTATTGAAGTAAAGTTGATTTACAATGTTGCATTAGTTTCAAGTGTACAGCCAAGTAATTCAGCTATGTACACACAAACACATATTCTTTTCCAAGTTCTTCTCCAGTATAGGTTATTATAAGATATTGAGTATACAAAAATTTCTTTATAGTCCCTGTACTTTTTAAAATGTCATTTGTAATCTCTCTTCTTTTATTTTTGATGCTAGCAATTTGAGTATTTTCTCTTTTTTCTTGGCCAATGTAGCTAAAAAATTCTTTCAAAGCATCAACTTTTGGTTTCACTGATTTTATCCACTGCTTTTTAATCTCCTATTCATTATAGTTTCTTCACTTCTCTTTACCATTTTCTGCCTTCTACTCACTTTAAGTTTTGTTTGTGCTTCTCCTTTCAGAGTGTGAAGGTGGAAATTTAGGTTCTTGATTTAGGATCTTTGTTCTTTTAATATCTAAACATCTAAATCTAAATATCTAATATCTAATATATCTAATATCTAATATCTAATATATCTCCCTGAACACTGCTTTTACTACATCCCATCAGATTTGATATAGTGTGTCTTCATTTTTAGTCATTTAAAAGTAATTTTCGATTGCCCTTTTTATGTCTTCTACAACCCATTGGTTATTTAGGAGTGTGTTATTTAATTTCCACATATTTGTATATCTCTTAATTGTCTTTCTGTCATTGATTTCTAATTCTATTCCATTGTGGTAGAAAGACACACACAGTATTATTTTGATCATGACTATTTTTTTTAAACTGCACAATTCACTGAAGTAACAGATTTTGGTCTGGTTTATCCAAAGAGATGCTAGTCCAAGAATTAAAGGCTATGAGGTGCCAGAATGCAATTCTGTTCTTTGGTCAGTCCAAAGATGCAGAGGGAACCACTGATCTCACTACTATAGTGATGGTCCCTAGATGTGGACTTGGCCTTGATCTGTCATTGACTTGGAAATCTGAGCAAAGGTCTAGAGGCAATGAGTCATGATTGAGTATCCTGGTGGTTTTACTCTTTTGGTTGGTAGAGCAAATTATATTTGCTAAAGGTAAACTATATTTGCTAAATGCAAAGTAAAATTTGCATTTTCACCAAGCTTCCTTTTATCTTTTTTCCTGCAGTATTATTTCCATTCCTCAACCCAGTTTTTGAAATATTAAACATTACTCTGTTTCCAAAAAGTACTGTGGACTTTTTCACAAAATCTGTAAAGAAGATTAAAGAAAGTCGCCTCACAGATAAACAAACGGTAAAGTCCGGTGGCAGTTACAAGTGGGTGTTCGCTTTTTGATAATTTATTGAGCTGTATACATATGACTTATATACATCTTTGCATTTTTGAAAGATAGGTAGAAAAACTATAGAGTATAGAATAGGATGGTTCTAAAATGTGGGGGGCAAAGGAAGAGGAAAAGGATGGGGAAGAAAATAAGATTATGAGCCAGAGAGCAGTTTAAATACAGTGAGAAGCATGCTAATTAATATATGAGGGATAAAAGTTACTGATTAAAAATAATTTTACTGACATTTCTCCAAATATTAGCTTGGTAAAGAGTTACTTCAATGCTAAGCCTCACATTTTATAGGTTGTCTGATGAGAGACTCTATCAGATGTGTGATACACTGTAGTCTTTTAAAAAGTTGAGCCCTGTCATAGCCTGAAGTGAGCAGGAGTCTTCTCTGGCCAATGAAGCCACAAGTGCATTAACCCAGTTTGGCCTTCATGAGGCCATGAGGCCAGCACAAGGTTGTCTGCAGATTAGGAGAGGTGGGCTGGTTACCCAGGATGTCGCTGAAGAATGTGTAGAGTCCTGGGAGGGTCAAGAGTTTGTAGATGCTTCTGCAAAATCTGCTAGTGACCTATGCAATGTGAGGGAGTTAATTTGTGTGTCCATTCATTAAGAGTTAAAGTTGAAGGGGATAAAAGGATTGAAGTCATGGACCTATTCCTGAGCAAACAGGTGTGACAGGAGAGAGCAGATCTGGTTAAGAAGCTGTTTCAAAAGTCAAAGAAGCCAAAGATCAGAGAGAGTGAAGACAAAAAAGCAGTTGGAAGTGATGGCTGAGTTTCTCTAAGGGAAGCATCATGGTCTCTAAGATTTGTAGGTGGGTGGTTTTGGTCACTGAGGACTCAGGCAATATTAGTTGGACTCTTGCTCTTTAAGGGGCCATATTCTCAGGAAAGAAGTTAAATATACACTCCTGATTTATTTCTATCTTCACAAGTAATTTCTAAAATTGATTTCTCTTTCTGTTTCCAGAATCGAGTGGATTTACTACAGCTAATGATTAACTCTCAGAATTCCAAAGAAATTGACACCCATAAAGGTAACCACGGAGAGCTTCACAGGGGCCACTATGGGAAGACACATAGGTAACGTGTGGTTCTCAAAATGTGCAGGAAGTCTTCCAGTCATGTGAGAATTTCTGCCCAATTGAAGAAAGCCACTTGTGCAGAAAGAGTAGACTGTGGTACTTCCTGGAAGTTTTCAGGCACAACTTTGTTCAGAGCTCAGAAGGGCCAAGTATAACAAGGATGTCATGCCCAGAAGTGAATCATGGTCAGTGGATCACCTACACCTGAACCTCTGGGGAGCTTTGTTCTAATATCAATTCTCAAGTTCCTCCAGATCCACATTGCGCCACTATTTGTGACCTTAACTTGGAACTCTTGGTTAAGGTTGTGTTTACAAGTTTACTCTACTCTAGAGATTATTTTTTCCCTTCTCTGTGAGAGAAGCCTTTGAGACTGGAAATACACTATTTCTCTTCAAATTGTCACCTACTCATTTTATCATTCATGGATGGTTTCTGACTAAAACCATCGTTACCATGATGGTTATAACATGATGACTTTCTGATCCCATCATTCTTCTGTATTTACGAATTGATGTTCCTTTGTAGGGAAGCTCTCCATTCTCTCTTGTTGGCTTACTTGTTCATTTATATTTATATAGCATGATCGCATGTACTCTCTAACATCACTTTTCATTTTGATTCTCAAATTCTTTCTGGTTTGTCCACTGGAGCTTTTTCAAGTAGATCTTATATTCCTTTTTCTTTTCTCCTTTCTTCACTTTAAATCTTTTTTTAATGGACTATTTTTAGAATAGTTATTTTATAAGAAAAATGAGTTGTGTATTTGTTACAATCAATGAACCTATGTTAATACATCATTATCATCCAAAGTGTATAGTTGACCTTAGGGTTCATTCTTAGTGTTATACATTCCATGGGTTTTGACAAATGTGTAAGGATGCACCATTAGCACATACAGAGTTTCCACTGTCCTTTAAACTATCTTTTTCTAAGAATTTCCTCACTTTCTGGTGTAAGACAATCCAGGTTTCTCTTACCCCTGAATAAAGCCCTGGAATCAGCTGTTTTTTCAAAGGTGCTCAGGTTCCCTTTATAAGAAATGGTATTTAGAAATCCCGATCTAAGATTTTAGGAATGCTCATTGCCTCTAGGGTTTCTTTGCTGCTAGATCTTTCCAGTGGACAAAGCTAAGAACATAAAATATATTTATACAAGACAGTAAACATAAGTATTTCCATATGGTGTACACGAATTCTCTCTTTCCAACAAGAAAGCCCTGATTATTAGTTTATTCCATGACAAGATTACTCCCACATGTTTAATTTTAAGCTACCAATTGTCTGACAACCATGTCACAAAATTCTTGAATTTTAAAAAATTTGTTCTGGAGAAAGAATGATCTGACACCAGCATACCACTATAAATATATCTAAAACTGTGTTTAAATCTACTTCAATCTATAATATCTATCTAGATATGTAAGTACATGGTCCAATACATCTTTCCGAGATGAAGGAGTATTCTGTGTCCGCATTGTTCAATATAGTAGCCACCTGACATATGTGTCTATTAAGCACTTAACATGTAGTTAGTGCCATTCAAGTATAGTATTTAATTTTGATTAACATTTAAATAGCCACATATTAGTACAGCTTTAAACTTTTTTGAGTATCATGGGGTTTATGCTCACTGGGGGAAAGAATTTGATAGTTGAATTTACCCACAATAGAATCACAGAAATCATCATGGGGAAATCAGAATCTTGTAGATCTCTCTTCCACTCATTCTGTATTGTTTTTATTGTGAATCACTTGGCTGGGGCAGGTGCCACGTTGACTTGAGTGCTCTAAGTAAAAAAGGTCTTACTTCAGTCCCATCAAATAGCTGAGAGACTGACCATGCTAGGTCTCTCAGGAGAAATTGAAGAGACCTGTTTATAATTACAAGGTTTTTTTGCTGAGCATAAAGGAGAGTAAACAGTGGGCATGTACTGAGGAAGATGACCTTCAGGCCAGGATTGAATCAGCATTGCTAATTCCACTCCCTGGACCTCATTTTTCTATGGTGCATACTGAACAATGTCCTTCCACAGACACATCCTTCCTTCTGGTTTTTGTTTTTGTTTTTTTTAATGCCATTGATTAGACTAGGCTCGCTCACAGCTCTAGCTTTTAGTCAGTCTCTGTGCCTATCTGAGATCATCCAGAGAAGACATGTGCCTCAGGTCTTCTGTTGCCTGATGCCTGTCAATTGTATAATCCCTGCTTCTTAGCCCACACTAATGACCACATCTTATGAAAGGTCAGACTCTGATTCCATTGTTCTAGTTTGGAATTGAGTCTCTGATACTCTAATAAGTTCCCAGATGTTGGTGATGCTGCTGGTCCACGAGCACACTTTGAGTAGAAAGAGCCTTCTATTGTTCTCTTAAGTTCCTACAAGCATGTTTAGATAAAAGATCATTTAATTTCTCCCGTAATGTGGCCTTACCCTTGTACAATCTATCAAAGAATCAAGTTATACTTTAACTAGAGTAATTTAAATTATTCTGAAAGAGAATATGGCCCCATATTACTTAGAGTTAAAGTGCTTTAAGGTTTCTCCAAGGGACATACTGATTACACCATGTTTGTTAGACAAAAATGCTGTCTCTTAAAATTATCAAACTGTGTTGCTGGGGAGGCAGCACAGTCAAGATCAGGGAGCCAAGAATAGTATTAGTCCAGTGCAGTCACTCAGTCATGTCCGACTCTTTGCAACCCCATGGACTGCAGCGTGCCAGGCTTCCCTGTCCATCACCAACTCCCAGAGTTTGCTCAAACTCATGTCCACTGAGTCAGTGATGCCGTCCAACCATTTCATCCTCTGTCGTCCCCTTCTCCTCCTGCCTTCAAGCTTTCCCAGGATCAGGGTCTTTTCCAGTAAGTCAGTTCTTTGCATCAGGTGGCCAAAGTATTGGAACTTCAGCGTCAGCATCAGTCCTTCCAATGAATATTCAGGACTGATTTCATCTAGGATTGACTGATTTGATCTCCTTGCAGTCCAAGGGACTCTCAAGAGTCTTCTCCAACACCACAGTTCAAAAGCATCAATTCTTTGGCATTTAGCTTTCTTTATGGTCACATCCAACTCTCACATCCACACATGACTACTGGAAAAACCAAGCTTTGACTATAGGGACCTTTGTCAACAAAGTGATATCTCTGTTTTTAATATGCTGTCTAAGTTTGTCATAGGTTTTCTGCGAAGGAACAAGTGTCTTTTAATTTCATGGCTCCAGTAACCATCTGCAGAAATTATGGACAGTGAGAAAACTGGACTAAAACAATTTCTGCTTTTTTCTTGTTTTTTTATGTATTTACTTATTTTTAATTAGAGAATAATTGCTTTACAATATTGTTGGGTTCTGCCATACAACATCATGAATCAGCCATAGATATACATATTTCCCCTCCCTTGGAAGACTGAGAATACAAAACACTCTCAGTTTGACTCTAATTGCTTTTATATTTTCCCCGCAGGGATTTGGCGGTTTCATTTGATTTCTCATCATCTAAACTGTGATGTTTTATATTGATGTGTTTTATATAATATAAAATGTCTCTTGTCTCCTTTTAGCTCTATCTGACATAGAACTCGTGGCCCAAAGTATTATCTTTATTTTTGGTGGCTATGAGACCACTAGCACTACTCTTTCCTTCATTATATATGAATTGGCCACTCACCCTGATGTCCAGCAGAAGCTGCAGGAGGAAATTGATGCAACTTTCCCCAGTAAGGTGAGTGATGATACCCGGAGAGAGAGGGGGAAGGTGAAGCCTTAGCAAGAATGCCTTCTTGCTGCTTCTTGAACATATTTGCAGAAAGCATAATCCTCAAATCTTTTACCTGTGCTATTTAAGAAGGATCTAGGTGTACAAAACAAAGGGGAAACATAGATAATGCACTGCACACACAGGAATGTAGGGACTGTGGAAAAAATGCTGGTATTGGCATATCACATATTGCTATATGCCATGTAAAAAATCACAAAATCTTGCTGGAATCTAACAATAAACATCTGTTGCTGTAGTGTCTGCATGCATGCATGCTTCATGCTAAGTTGCTTCAGTCATGTCCGACTCTTTGCCACCCTGTGGACTGTAGGCTGCCAGGCTCCTCTCTCCATGGGATTCTCCATGCAAGAACACTGGAGTAGGTTGCCATGCCCTCCTCCAGGAGATCTTCCCAACCCAGGGACTGATCCTGTGTTTCCTGCAGCTCCTGCATAGCAGGCAGATTCTTTACCACGATGGCTGGACTTGCTGTGGTCTGAGTGTTGCCTGATCTAGGCTGGCCATGGCTAACTGGCTGGGCTGACTCAGCTCCACACATGTTTTACACATGTCTCATGTTCCACATGTTGGCAGCTCAGGGCAACGGTAGTGTCAAGAAGCCCAGTCTTGTGGGTGACTTTCACACAGGCTGCTAACATCACACTAGCCAGCTTTCCACTGATTCACTGAGCCACCTGAGCAACCTGAATGAGAATGGGAGGGTATCACAGAGTTAGATGCAAGATAAGGATAGATCGTAGTGCCTACCTAAATTACAGGTGATGTGTCTTCTCTGGTAAATCTTATTTTGGGATTATTTTGGTGCAATAAGATGAAAAAGTCACTAAGAGACAGAGAGTAGTTAAAGCATTGTGTTCTCCTGTTTTTATAATAATACTTTTAATAACAACACCACTATTGGCTAATATTTACTTCTTACTATCTATGTCTATCTAAGCACTTTCCATTTATGAATGAATCTAACCTTCATAAAATTCAGTCTTAGTCAGGAGAGTCTAGCTTATGCCTCAGTAACACATTAGCCTAAAAATCTCAGGGGCTCTCATAGCAAAGGTTTACTTCTAACCCACATCTACACATCCAACATGGATTGTTAGTGGAGGAATGAGTACAAGATTCTGCTCCACAGAGTTCCGTGGGGACACAGGCTGAGGCTCCACTTTCTTATAACTGCCTTATCTGAAACACTCTTTTTATCTGGGGAATAAGAACCTGAGAGTTACTCACTGACTTTTCAAATATTTTGTCTCTAAACTGACATAACCAGCTCAGTTCACAGCCCATTGGCAAAGCTGGTTTCCCATAACTTCAGATGGGCTGGGAAATATGGGGCCTACATGGATGCTAGGTGAGCAGTGAGTGTCTCTGCCACACAACCCTCGGCAGGATCAGCTCCATCTGTCTCCATGTATCATATGAGAAACCTGAGTGACAGGGAGATGAAATACTTCCAGACACTAGTCGTGCACCTGATGGTGATCAAGTCAAGCTGTGATCCAGGGTGTTGGCTCCTGAGCCACTCTTACCCTCCACAATGTTGCCCCTTAAATATAACCCCATGTGACAGCCACATACCACCCTCACTAGTCTCAATTCAGTTCAGTTCACTCACTCAGTCGTATCCGACTCTTTGCGACCCCATGAACTGCAGCATGCCAGGCCTCCCTGTCCATCACCAACTCCCAGAGTTTACACAAACTCATGTCCATTGAGTCAGGGATGCCATCCAACCATCTCATCCTCTGTTGTCCCCTTCTCCTCCCACCCTCAATCTTTCCCAGCATCAGGGTCTTTTCAAATGAGTCAGCTCTTCGCATCAGGTAGCCAAAGTATTAGAGTTTCAGCTTCAACATCAGTCCTTCCATTGAATATTCAGGACTGATCTCCTTTAGTGTGGACTGGTTGGATCTCCTTGCAGTCCAAGGGACTCTCAAGAGTCTTCTCCAACACCACAGTTCAAAAGCATCAATTCTTCGGCACTCAGCTTTCTTTATAGTCCAACTCTCACATCCATACATGACTACTGGAAAAACCATAGCCTTGACTAGACGGACCTTTGTTGACAAAGTAATGTCTCTGCTTGTTAATATGCTGTATAGGTTGGTGATAACTTTCCTTCCAATGAGTCAACATCTTTTAATTTCATGGCTTCAATCATTATTTGCCCCAAAACATAAAGTCAGCCACTGTTTCCCCATCTATTTGCCATGAAGTGATGGGACTGGATGCCATGATCTTAGGTTTCTGCAGATATCTGCAAAAACTGGAGTTCTTTCTGGTATGAGGAGAGCTGGCTCCTGGAGCTGGAGTGGCTTGTTTAGACCTTCAGACCTTCTGGTCACACCTGCAGGAACAATAGAGGACTCTTCAAGCAACAGAGGGTGGAAGTGAGGGTTCTGATTCTCTTGTAACTTCCTCTAGACCTAAAACTGTGTTGCTGGTAACAGTCTGTCTTACTCTTCATTTGTGGGTTTGGTTTAGAAAGGAATTCATTTCTCCCCAAATTATTTACAGGGTTTTCATTAAATGCAGTATTTCCAATCAGGAGCCTTCAACTGAGAGCCTTCAGGTTGAATAGGGGATTTGCTCTTTTACACATTCTCTTTACTTGGTACTTACCTGTGGCCTCACTTTCAAAAAGAAACAGTGATTTTGGCCTATTTCACTTAAGAATAAGGGTTTTAGTCTATTGCTCATGTTTGTTCTCCTGAGAAAGAAATACACTGCATGATAATGTGCAGGATTTCAAGCCCTGGTTAGGGCACTGTCCCAGTATCTCCCAAGTCATCACTATTCTACATCTCAATGGGCCCTTGAGAGGTCAAAGGACATGATAGATACTAAAATGTCCATAAATGCTAGGGTCCTTGACCGATTCAAATTATTCCCTGAAGCACCTAACATTTCAATAGGACTACATTGATGGAATTGAAGGTCGATTCCAAATCTTAATTTATCAAAATCTGTTTTTCTCTTCCGAGGCCCCTCCCACCTACGATGCCCTGGTACAGATGGAATATCTTGACATGGTGGTGAATGAAACTCTGAGAATGTTTCCAATTGCTGGGAGACTGGAGAGGGTCTGTAAGAAGGATGTGGAAATCCATGGGGTGTCCATTCCCAAAGGGACAACAGTGGTGGTGCCACTCTTCGTTCTTCACAACAACCCAGAGCTCTGGCCAGAGCCTGAGGAGTTCCGTCCTGAAAGGTACAAGGCCCTGGAGAAGAGACACCCACCCTCATCCCTTTTGGTGCTTGCGTGTTTTGACAACTCTTCTTGTAGGTGTCGAATGGGTGACCATGCAATCATTTACTTGTATATCTTTTTATTGTTTAAAAGATTTTTCTCTTTAACTGTGTTCATTGTTTGAGTTGAATTATTCAAACTAGATTAGAAAAAAAATTATTAGCTGTCTTTATTCCTAATACACTAAGATAGGCCTCATTAATAATGTGTGTCCTTGGGGACAGTTTTCTATGCATATATAGATTTTTGAAACTTTGGGTGGTATTCTTATGTATTATTTAGTTCTAAACTGCTTAATTTATTTAACAATAAACTATAAACAATATTCTATGTACATATGTTTGTAGGCATATTCCATAAGTTACCTTACTACTGTCTGATTTCAGGTGTATAGGCTTTTTATTTCCTTTAAGCCTTTCTCTCTATTCTCTGCTAGCTCTTCGAATTCACACATGTTCCCACATTCCTTATTTTTAAACACTGGCTGCTGTTTCCTCTTATTATTATGGGAGTGCAGGCTGGAGACCAGAGGTCTCATCCCCGTGGTTCAAGCAGCCTCACTGAGGATGGAGGAGCAGCCGGGGCCCTGGTTCTGTCTGTGGCTGCAGACCTGGGCCAGCTCCCTTCTGCCTCAGTTTTCGGTGACTTTCCAAAGAGAAGTCCTCTGTTCTCTAGACGTCTAAACTTCCTCCTTGGAGAACAGTTAAGTATCCTTTTCAGGAATCAGGAGCAAAGGTCTGGTTTGGGCACAGCTTGAACTCTGGATAGAGTTGATGCTCTCCAATCTAGTGTGAGGGATCAAGGTTTGGAATGAACTTTTCGGGCACTGGCTGGGATCTGGACTTTCATTTCACCCTGACTATGGGTTGTCATTTCATTTCATCCTGATGACCAAAGGTTGTCTTGTTTGCCCTGATGTCCAAGTTCTACCATAGTGGTGGGTGACACACAGTACTTGTGGATAGAAGAGTCTGAGTCCACCAAGTCCTCTGTTCTGGACCAGGGAAACTGTTTCTCCCTCAAACTCAGCAGCTCCCCCTCCTGCAGCATCAGGAACCTAAAACCAGAGACCACTCACTGTACTTCCCCTTCATTCATTTAGCCGTCAAGCAGAGATTTAGTGCTTACCTGCCTGTGTCGGGGACGGGCCACGGAGTGAGAAACCAAGTATTTACAAAGGCCTGTTATGGAGAATTTTTAAAACATACACAAGTATGGATATATACTGACACATATACAAGTATATTCTGTAGACACAAACCTATGAAATACATTTTTATTGCAGTATATTGCTAGTGGTGTTAGTTTCTGCTGTACAATGTGTATCTGTATGTGTCTATTCCCTGCTTAAGAAGCATCAACCCATGTCTGCATCATTCACATGACACTACTGCCCTTCTATCTCCGTATTATTTTATCACATTGTCGGTAAATATTACATAATGTTTTGCAAAATAAAGACTCTTTTAAATACATGTAACCACAATGCTATTATCACTTTCCCCAAATATACAGTTTTCCTTGACATATTCAAATATTGAGGAGTCAAATTTGTATAAAACAGAGATCTGACCATCAGGGAACTTATAGGCTAGTGGAACAGATAGACAAAGAAATCAGTGACTATCTAGAGAAGCCTGGCATCACATGCTGACATAATTCTACTGACCTAAGCATTTTGTGTGTGGCAGAGAGAGGGAGAGAGTTAATGACACATGGAGATTGGAAGGGGAAGAGGGAAAGCAATTGAAATATAACAGTTTAAATACTCAGAGATGTTTCTCCTGCTTCCTTCCCCCATGAGCACATGAGTGACATAAGTGTGCTTGGAGATGGGAACCCATGTTTCCTTCAATCAGATTCATTTCCTAACTGCCTTTCAGAGAGTGAGCATGTCACCAGTCTGAACGTAAATTTAGAGTTTAAGGATACATTTTCTTTAAATAACCATTACCTCAACTCAACAGGAGGGAAAGCTTCTGTAGGGTCCAGGGAGTGGAACTTATCTTTCTCACCACAGCAGTAATCAGTCACCAGCCCACAGAAATTTCCTTATACTACTGGTCCAAGAGTTAAGTTAAAACCTCAGACCTGCAGCTCTTCTGGTTTTTCTGTTTCATTCACTTGTTTCACCTACTGTTGTGGATCCAGGTTCAGTAAGAAGAACAAGGACAGCATAAATCCTTACATCTACCTGCCTTTTGGAACTGGACCCCGAAACTGCATTGGCATGAGGTTTGCTTTCATGAACATAAAACTCGCTCTCGTCAGAATGCTTCAGAACTTCTCCTTCAAACCTTGTAAAGAAATACAGGTCAGCAGTTCACTTTCTGCATTAATAACGTTTTATTGGGAGTTGTTTTTTAACTGATGGATCTCTATATATCTAGGCAAGTTATCAATTCAAAGGATAGCTTAGTCTATCAGCCAGAGAATCTGTTTGGAATCACCTGAAACCTTTAACTGTCAATCATCCCTGAAGGGCTAAATCAGCAGCTTCATAAAGACCCAACTATAAAGGTCGTCTGGAGTCAATGCAGTTAGTATGGCAGGACTGCACACCATGCATTGAATGGAAGAAAGATTTTAAATTTGGTTTCAATTTCACTGGAAGGAAGTGTGTGCACAGTCACGAGAGCAGCAACTTTTCATCATTACTTTTCAGTGATGCTCTTCCCCACCAGAACTTAGAGAGGCTCTTCTGACAGCGGGTCTCAGCCACTGCTTGTGTAGTAAAACTGATGGAGAAATTTTGCCATAATGCCTAAGAATCTGGTACATTTTAAATACTCAGTATTTTTACTTAAAATTTAAATCAATAAAGAACACAGGCCAACTTGACTTTGTATCAAGCCTGGTACAGAGTAGGTGCTCAAATAGGTATTTTGTGGAATGAATGAGGGATGAATGTTATCACTATCCCTCTTGACACAGCTCAGAATAAATATAAAGAATCAAAGATAAGCAGGCAAAATTAAACGAAGGTGGTCAAAAGGTGCAAACTTTCAGTTATAAATGAGTACTAGGGCTGACATGCAAAGCACAGTGACTGTTGTTACCATTTCTGTATGAGGTAAGTGCATCCTAAGACTTCTCTCACATGGGAAACAATATTTATTTCTTTTTCTTTTCTTTCTATATGAGATGATGAGTGTTAACAAAACTTACCATGGTAATAATTTTATGACCTATATAAATAAATCATTATGCTGTATACCTTAAATATATGCACTGCTATAAATCAATCATATCTCAATAAAAGTGTAAGCTAAAGTCTGATAGGACATGATAAGGGAATACTGTGAGCAACTTTCTTCCCACATGCTTTATAAATATGTTAAATAAACCAACTCTCTCGAAGATGTAAACTATTAAAATTCATTTAAGGAAATATAGATAGCCTGGCTGTCTCCTTATCTGCCCTTGTATCTACTAAATATATTGAACTGGTAGTTTAAAAAAATCCAATATATATCATGCTAAAAGAAGCTTTGTTGTTGTTGTTTATGTCATTAAGTCATGTCCGACATTTATAAAGCAGTATCTTGTCTACTTTGCTTTTTTTTTTTTTTTTTTTTTGTTAGCAGGGCTTCATTAATCGGGTCTCATGTGCTTATTTAACTGTTGCAGATCCCCCTGAAATTATACACTCAAGGACTTACGCAGCCAGAACAACCTGTTATTCTAAAGGTTGTGCCTAGAGATGGGACCACAAGTGGAGCCTGACTTTCTCTAAGGATTTTCACTTTGATTTTGAAGGAAGCTGCATCTCACAACACCAGAGACGTGATCTACTTTGAAAACACCAATAAATGAAGATGGGCTTCACCTACTGTACTTGATGGTGAGTAGGGATTCTGCATAATCATTTAGCTTTCTCACTGCCTACCTGGATTATTATATACTACGTGTCATACAAAGGAGGTGACTAGTAAGTGCCAAACACTCAATTTCACAGGTTCTCATAGGACACTCTCCATCCACCCCAGTTAGTACTATCTACTCCTCCTGAGCACTGATCAGAATGAAGATTTCTCAACAATCTTATTGACAGACTTTAATGAAAACAAGAATTAAAATGGTGACTGGAATGATATTTATATCACAAATTATACTTTTAATATGCTAAATAAAACATTATATTGGGCAAAACAATAAACATCTGTTTACAAGAGTATCACCTGATGCCTTTGTGCACATTAGGGTGGAAGAGAACAACTCAGTCTAGGGATGCAGTGACCAAATACTTTTTGACTATCACAATTGCTGGTGGGTGGGGCCGTTTTCAAAACTCCATCTTAACATATTAAATAGGTAAGAGTTAATTGACTATGACTTTGCCCAGTGTTTAGAAATCTACCTTTTAAATCTACCCTTTTAGTTTAAATCTACCTTTTTTGGGAGCACATATTTTCCATACCTCTTTGTATTCCACCCTCAACTCCCAGCCTTCTTAACACAGTAAACATGGAATAAAAGATGGTTGACTGGGGAGAAAGGCTACAATCATTTTCAGTTGGTGTCAGAAACTGCACACAGCCCTTCCTTTCCCTTTCCTGCCCCTTCCCTCCCCTCGTCTTCCCCTTCTTCCTGGACAATACAGTCCTAAACCAGTAGGTGGGCCACAGAGGGTGGGAAGCCTCACACTGCAGGGTGGGGCCAGAGGAGGAGGCACAGTGGCTCCAAGTCAGAGACCAAGAAAGGAGGGGATGGTGTCCACAGGGATGGCAGCCGGCCACTGGTGAGGAAACCCAAAATACTCACTTGTGGGGGTGGCCCATAGGGTGAGGGGGCATTGTTAGTGGAAAGGGGTGGATTGTGGATTGGGGTCATAAAGGAGGATTGATCAAGTAATAAATATGAAAGATGATGGAGGCCCGCATTCTCACTGTTGGAGAAGGAGTTACTGGTTCAGAGATGGAGAAACTAGAAGAAACCCTGTTGGTCAGTGATTGAAGCTGAACTATCAGGGTAAATCATGCTTTTCTCTATAGACAGATGGCAGATAGATACAGATACAGACAAATAGGTATGTGTTTGTGTAGCCACAAAACGCATAATACCTACTCCTTTTCCCTAATGCGTGTTAGAGACAACTTCTTAGCAATAAGCACACCTTATACCCAGACCTTGGATTGTAAATATCATTTGCCACTGAAATGAACCAGGGCTCCTTAGAGAAATGGCTGATTCCAGGGTTGGGAAAGTATGTGATGACAATGGACCATCTTGGGCTAGAAAGCTGGGAAATGTAAACATTGAGGGGGATGTATTGCGAGCCAAGCTGAGGGGACTGTATATGTATGTATGTATTTTATATATATATACAAAAAATGTATTATATATGTGTATTATATATATATATATATATAAATTGCAACTTGATAAGGAAACTCAAAGCTTCAAAGTACTGCTGCTCCAAATGTCCACTAATTATAGAGAGAAAGGGGAGCCTCAGAGCAGAGAAATCTGTCAGACACCCCTTTCATCAAGGGATCAGAGAGCAACATCAGGAATGGGATAAATTGATGGCACTTCACCTGATGGGACGCAGTGAGAAGAACTTACTTCACCCATGAGATAATCCTGCCAAGGAGGCAGGAAATCTGAAGAGTCAGAGAAACCCAAGTAGAGGAGCATTCTCCTCTGGTTTGTAACTGGTTTGGAATCTTTGAAAGAGGCAGTATCATGAAAACCAGAGATGGACTGAACTTGTTGCAGATGAAGGAGACTACAAAGAGGTGACATCCTAACGTAACTCAAGAGCTGGGTCCTTCTGCAAAAGGACATGGTTGGGCAGATGGGGACCTGGGGGCTCTGAGGTTAGGTGGTAGTGATGTGATTAACCTCCTGACTTGTAGTTTGTATTGTGGTCACATAGGAGAAGTTGTTGTTTGTGGGTGATACAGGGGTGTGAATTATCAGTTGGCAATTTACTCTGAGATGAATAAGAAAAACAGATCTTTCAACAGTCTCTTCCGTAAGTTTGTGATTGTTGAAGCTGATGGTCACAAGGGCACCTTTTGGCTCATATAGCCCTCACCATCTCTCACCTTAGTCTTCTTTATCTTACTTTATTATAAGGAGGCAGCACCACTCTGACTGAGAGATGAGTGCCTCTGAAGCTGGAGCTCCTGAGTTTAAAATCCCAGCACCGTCCAAGACTGAGTCTAGACTCATCAGTGGCTTTGGCAAATGAGGACAAGTGGCTTTGGGTAAATGTGGTCTTTGCATTGCTTAGACCACAGAGTTGGGGCTGAATTTCAACACCGCTACGCCCCTCAGCTGAACGGCACTGTACACGCATTAGCTCAGACTCAGTCACTGTCTTAGGTTGGCTTCCTTAAAAGCAGAACCTGATACGGGGTTCTGGCACAAATACTGAGAGAGTGGTCTCAAGGGAAGGGATGTGGGGACCTGAATGGGGCAGAAGGGAAAGCTGAATTGAAGATGTGGTTTCTGTGGAGCCCAACCCCACAGGGAGCCTGAGACATATTTGTAATCCAAAGTGGATCCCAGTTGGAGGCAAAACCAGCTTTCTACACCCCATCATAGACTGGCCCTCCCATCTCCCAGGATGTACAAACTCCCAGGTGAATAAGCTTTAGTTTGGCCCAGGGAGATTATCCAGGGATTGGGTGGCCTGTAATGAGTAGCATCCAATTCTCCTAGTGATTCAGGGTGAGAATGAGTGACTCAGCCCAGGAAAAAGGATCTGGTAATTGCCTGGAAGTCCTGAGTGAATCTTATAAATATGCTGTGTCCGTAAGAAGGGAATGTGCTCTTCTTACTCCTGTTTGTTCCTTTGGGATTTTATCTTTTCCTTGCCAACAGTGGACTCAAGTTTGGGAACTTTCTAGAAACAATTGTTCCCCCAAGCCAGGAGGAGGAGAGTGGGAGGGGGGGTGGATTCCAACCAAGGAGCTTTGGCATCCTACAGGGTTGGGGAAAGTGGGGCTGGAGGTCCCACTCAGGGCCCTGAACTCACACAGGAGGACAGACACCCCTAACCCCAATTAGAATCCAGGAAATAATGTCCTAAACATTTGTGACTCAGTATCTCCACACACAGCAGGTGGTAAAATGAGCCATTTAGACACAACCAATAAAGAGGGACAAAATGAAGAGTTTACACTGAGAAAACTCCTAACAATTTTAATTATTTTTCACTGTAATTTCCTGACAAAAGATACATTCCATAGTTTGAGTTTACTCTAAAGTCTTGATACTAGTTGACTATTTATGAACTCATATGAGTGCACATTTCTAGAGGTCTGCTAAGGGTCAGGTATCTGATGAGCGAGGTCACATGTTCTCTTTAGTCAAAGCCGCCAGGAGGCCAACTTGCAGATCCAGGACCCAAGCCCTTCAGGCCATGGGTCAGGGGCTTGTTTGGTCTGGCATGCACTCCTTTAGGAGGAAAAGACATAGCTGTTAACTCTCATTTTATAGTTTAGGCAACTGAGGCTAAGAAGGTTTAAATAACTCACCCAGGGCCTTCATATCAGTCATGTTTTGTGGATCCCTACTAGCCAACTGTCTATATAGCAGAGAGCATAGTTGTCCCTGGAGCCCATAGAAGGCTCAGGGGCCTCCTGAAGCAGGTTCCCTCCACACTCTTTCCTCTCCTTTCCCTCTATCTCTGGCAATCAAACCAGTTGATCCTAAAGGAAATCAACCCTGAATATTCATTGGAAGGACTGATGCTGAAGCTGAGGCTCCACTATTTTGGCCACTTGATGCAAAGAGCCAACTCATTGGAAAAGGCCCTGATGCTGGGAAAGATTGAAGGCAGGAGGAAAATGAGATGACAGAGGATGAGACGGTTGGATGGCATCACCAACTCAATGGACATGAGTTTGAGCAAACTCTAGGAAATGGTGAGGGACAGGGGATCCTGGTGTGCTACAGTCCATGGGGTCGCAAAGAGCTAGACATGACTGAGCAACTGAACAACAACATCTCTGGCAAATTCTTACATATTCTTAATCATTTGGATTTTTTATTTTAGTTACAGAAAATCAAAGGTTCAGAAATCTTATTGCATCACAACCACTATGATGGTTATAAATAAAAAAGGTAAAAAGCAAGTGTTTGTGAGAATGTGTACAAATTGGATGGCTCATTCATGCTGGTGGGATTGTAAAGTGGTACAACCATCATGGAAAATGTTTGGCAGCTCCTCTGCAAGGTTGGCATAGAATTACCATCTAACTCAAGAATTGCACACTTGGATGGATGTCTAAGAGAACTGATAACAGTTTTTCAAATACGTGTATCTTCATATCCATTGCAGTGCTATTCCCCAAAGCAAAAGGGTGGAAACAAAATCAGTGGATGAATGGATAAACAAATTGTTGTGTATCCATACATGATGATACAAACTTATTTTTAGGCAAAACAAAAAAATTTTTCTTTCTTTTAAAATTGGAGTATTGTTACTTTACAGTGCTGTGTTAGTTTCTGCTGTAGAGTGAAGTGAATTAGCTGTATGCCTACCTATATCCCCCCTTCTTGGGCCTCCCTCCACCCCCCCAATCCCGCCCATCTAGGTCACCACAGAACCCCAAGGTGAGCTCCCTATGCTAAACATAATATTATAAAGCAACTATATCCTGATTTTAAAAAAAGAAAAGGGTTGAACAAAAAAGGTTGAAACAACAAAAAAAAAGAAAAAAGAAAATTCCTTCTCTACATTTGGGCCACCCTCTCCCTTTAGGGTACCTTGTGCAAATGCATTAACCAGCCCTCTTAGAAGACATAAGAATGCCTGCTTCATGTCAAGAGCAGTTTTCTCTGGTGCCAGCAAGATGACTCCTTAGAGACAACGATCCCTTTAATCTTGTAAGGGTGCAGATCTGGGTCGCGTAAACTGTCAATATGCCATTTGATATATAACCTTTTCACTCAAAAACTTACCTAACTTTGCTTTGACCTCAAATATTAGGAACAGTCCTCAGAGCTTTCTGAAATATTGTCTCTTGGGTTATAATCCTCAGACTGGCTGAAAGAAAATTTTCTGTTTCTTTCTTAAATGGACTATTAATTTTTTCATCCACAAATAGAATAGTATTCAGCGATTGAAAGAGTGAAGTACTGAATGCATGGTGTAAGAGGAATGAACCTTGAAAACCTAAATGAAAGAATCCAGGCACAAAAGGCCGCATATTACATGAGTCCATTTACATGAAACATCAGAAACAGACAAATCTACAAAGAGATATTGAGCACATTTTCATATTCCTGTTGGCCACTTGTGTGTCTTCTTTGGAAAAAGTCTTTTCAATTCTTCAGCCTATTTTTTAATCTGATTTGTGTGTGTGTGTTTTGGCTATTGAGTTGTGTGGGTTTCTGATATATTTTGGATATTAAACCCATATCAAAAAAATAAATAAATAAATAAACCCATATCAGGTAAATGATTTGTAAATATTTCCCCCATTCTCTAGGTTGACTTTACATTTTTTTATGGTTTCCCTTTCTGTGAAGGGCTTCCCTGATAGCTCAGTTGGTAAAGAATCCACCTGCAATGTAGGAGACCCCAGTTCGATTCCTGGGTTGGAAAGATCTGCTGGAGAAGGGATAGGCTACCCACTCCTATATTCTTGGACTTCCCTTGTAGCTCAGTTGGTAAAGAATCTTCTTGCAATGTGGGAGACCTGGGTTCGACCCCTGTGTTGGGACGATCCCCTGGAGAAGGGAAAGGCTACCCACTCCAGTATGGCCTGGAGAATTCCATGGACTATGGGGTCGCAAAGAGTCGAACACGACTGAGAGGCTTTCGCTTCACTTCACTTGCTGTGGAAATCTTTTGCTTTTTAGTTTAACAGGGTCCCACTTGTTCCTTTTTGCTCTCATTCTTTTTGCTTTTGGTGCGATACCTAAAAAATATTGTCAAAACTGATGTCAAGGAGCTCGTCCCTTATGTTTTTCTCCCAGAAGTTTTGTGGTTTCAGGTCTTACTTTCAAGCCATTAATCCTGTTTGAGATGACTTTCGTAAATTATACACCAAATGATTTGTGAGGCTGAGCATCCTTTCATGTGCTTGTTGACCATTTGTGTAACTTGTTTGGAAAAATGTCTTTTCAAGTCCTTTGCCCATATTTATGTTACTTTACTGTGATTGTCTTTGAATTGTAGTCATTTTTGTATATTCTGGATGCTAACCTCTTATCATGAAGCTTTTCCCTTGTGTTTTCTTCTAAGAAGAAAATAATGGTTTAATAGTTTTAGTTCTTACATTTAGATATTTGATACATTTTCACATAATGCTTTGTATAGTGTAAGGTAAGGGTCTAGCTTTATGCTTTTGCATGTGGATATCCAGTTTTCACAGAACAGTTATTGAAAAGATTGTCCTTTTCCCCCTGAATGATGTTAGTATCCTTGATGATAATAATCTCATTGTATATATGAGGGTCTTTTTCTGAGGTGTCTATTCCATTCCATTGGTCTGTACATCCCTATATATGGCAGTATCACACTTTTTTGATTATTATAAATTTGTAGTACGTTTTTAAATCAGAAAGTTTTCAGTGAGTTTTCTAGTTTTAGTCTTTTCCAGGGTTGTACTGGCTATTTGAGGTCCCTTGATTCCATATAAATTTTTAGGATAGATATTTCTTTTTTTGGAAACAAAATGCCACTGAGAGTTTGGTAGGTTTTGCCTTGGCTCTGTAGATCACTTTGGGTAATAAAGAGGTCTTAACAATATAAATATTTCCAATCCATAAACATAGGATATCTTTCCATTTATTTACATACCGTTACCTTCTTTCAGCAGTGTTTGGTAGTTTTCAGTGTACAGATCTTTCACTTTCTTGGATAAGTTAATTCCTAAGTATTTTATTCTATTTGATTTCTATAGTAAGTGGAAAAAAGTTGGACCCTTACCTTACACCATTTTCAAAATTTAACTGGAAATATATCAAAAACCTAATATAAGAGCTAAAACTATGAAACTCTTATAAGAAAGCACAGAGAGAAAATTTCATGACATTGCATTTACAGTGTTTTCTTGGATATGACACAGAAATCCCAGGCAACAAAAATAAAAATAAATAAATGGGAATATATATCAAGATTTTAAAACACGTTCATCAAATGAGCCAATCAACAGAGTAAAAGGCAACCAATGGAATGACAGAGATATTTGTATGCTCTATAGAAGATAAAGGGTTAATATCTAGAATATATCAAGAATAATTACATTTATAGAGTTAGATGGCATCATTAGCTCAATGGACATGAGCCTGAGCAAACTCCAGGAGATAGTGAAGGACAGGGAAGCCTGGCGTGCTGCAGTCTGTGGGGTCGCAAAGAGTTGGATATGACCAAGCAACTGAACAACAATGAACAACAGTAACTCTTCCCAAGATGGGGTCATAACCTGCTATACTATTTACCTTTGGCAGATGTTAGCATTACATGAATAACCATCCATCAGCTTAGCTCAGGTTGTTTCATTTCCAAATAATCTTATGGCATTCTGGACAAGGTCGTAGTTGGATGTGTATGTGTGTAGAGAGTGGGGGTGGGCGTAGCAAAAGAACAACCACTCTCTGTAACTAGGATTGTGAGCTAGCTGTTTGTATCAGACCCTTGTGCCTTCAGGAACAACCCAGGCACCATTTCTCTGAAAATTTTCTCTACTTGATATTGGAGTGTTACAACACAAATCCAACCTTAGGGCTTTGTGTATAACATAGCACCCTACTCATGAGGGGCAGCTCATCTTATTATAGAATGGCAAAAAGCTGTTTCTCAAAGAGAAGATACTTACGCATCAAAGAAAGCATAACTTTCCTCTCAAGCATGAAATATTTTTCTTCTGAAGATGGTCCTGGGACTGAATAACTAGTAGGAAAATCAAGATCTAGATATTTGTCTGTGGCTTTGGCATCCCTCAGCCCACTAGACTCCAGGAAAGTTCACTGAGATATCAAGTCTCTGCATCTATATGGGATTAATATGTGGCTATCTTTCATGTCACGTGAGATAGTAAGACAATCTAGGTCCCATTTATTTATTAATCCATACAACAAGTAGTTATTGAGTACTTATTTCATCTCAGACTCTTTTCTTGGCATTGGTGAGACAACAGAAAACAAAGTAAAACTCCTTACACTCTTGAAAATTTCACTCTAGGAAGCAGACAGTAAGACTAGAATGTTATGCAGTATCAGGGAAGTATGATCATAAGGTAGGATCAGGGGACAAAGAGTGAAGAGTCTGCTTTAAGTAGGCTCATCCGGGAGGCATGTTTGGGCAAGATTCCATTTGAAAAGAGATCAAAAGGAAATGAAAGAGTGTCTAGCACTGTGAAGACTTGATCTTTGTACTTATCAGCCTCCAAAACTGTGAGAAATAATGTGTGTTGTCTAAGTCACCCAGTCTTGACTGTTGTTATAGCAGCCCAAATGGACTGTAAGGGGCGTCGATGCCTGAGAGCAAGTGAGAATACTGAAAATGTTGTTAACCACTTCAATTTTGCAATAGTCTTCAAGGCTCTGGACCCTCGAAAAAATCATTGCAGTTTACAAAGAACAATTTAAGGAGCTGATAGGAATTCCACTAATGTACTCAGGATAACTGCACTTGCGATCTTTGAGTGATAAGGTTTCTCCCCAGCACCCTCCTCAGAGCCTTAGCTACATCCTTATTCCGGAGAGTATAAATCAACGGATTCAATGTGGGAGTGATGATGCTGTAGAACACAGAACCAACTTTGTCTTGCAGTGGAGTGCGCTGGGACCTGGGCCTCATATATGAGAAGATGCAAGCACCAAACCAGAGGGAAACCACAGTGAGGTGAGAGCTGCAAGTGGCAAAGGCATTTCTCTTACTCCCAGCTGCACGCATCTGAATGACACTGTGGAGGATGAAGACATAGGATGCAGAAATCAAGAGGATGGGGAGAAGGAGGAGGAGGAGGGTGCTGATATACACTGTGGCCTCATACACAGTGATGTCGCCACATACCAACTTCACGACAGCTGGAAACTCACAGTAGAAGTGGTGGATTTGCCGAGGCCCACAGAAAGGGAAGCGCATCAAGCTTGCCGTGTAAATTAGGGAATTCAGCGATGCTCCCAACCAAGACATGGCAGCCATCACTCCCGTCACCTTTCTGCTCATGAGAACAGTGTAGCGCAGTGGATGACAGATGGCAACATAGCGGTCGTAGGACATGAAAGCTAGGAGAAGACACTCCGCCCCACCCAGAGTCAGATAGAGGAAGTGCTGGGTCGCACAGCCCACAAAGGAGATGGACTTCTGGCCAGATAGGTAGTTGGTCGCCATCTTGGGGATGGTTGTAGAGACGTGCATCAGATCCATGAGAGAGAGCTGGCTGAGGAGGAGGTACATGGGTGTATGAAGCCGGGGATCAGCACAGATGAGGAGAAGGGTGAGGGTGTTGCCACTCACAGCAATAAGGAAGACCACCATGGTCAAGGAGAAAAGGAAAAGGTGGGCGAGAGAGTCATCAAACAGCCCTTCCAGGACGAAGTCTGCCAGAGAGGACTGATTGCTCTGCCACGTCTCCCCTTCTTCAGCCCCTGGGAAACAGGAAGCGGAGATGAAATGTGATATCAGAAATACTGGGGTTCATCCAACCTGACAATAAGCATCTTTCAATCCACAAAAGAATTTTGAAGAATAATATTTTTCTAGTTCTAATTATTCAACAGCTCTGATTATTGAAGTTTCTCTATTTTAAAAAATGAGGACTTCAAATCCCTGCTTACAAATATGATCACTCTGAAATTTCAGAATACCTAGACTCTATTAGTCCTAGACTTCTAAACAAGTTTCTCCTCATTAAGGAAGATATACATATTTATATGTGTATATATACATATGTTCTTTTTTAAGTATTTATACTTTAAAGGTACACTCTAAATTTTATATATGATATAAATATTATATATATATATATATATATACACACACACATACAGATCTTTTCCTACATCAGTCAGGGTTTAACCAGAAAAGCTGAACTACTAAGAGATTTATACATACATATACATTTAATGGATTGTATAGAAATTTGGCCTTACTTGACTGTGAAAGCTGGTTAAGCAGTCAGTGTAAAGCTGTCACCTTTCTATCTGATTCTAGAACTTGAACTCCCTGAGGCAAGCAGTCACGAAGGGAAGATGGGTATAAAAGTGTGGCAGCTCAAGGTCAGGCTGGAACCCACAAACGTGACATAAATCCCACAAGGGCGGACTGAAACGCATGTCACACTTGTCGCCTCTGGAACTGGTGACATGGTTTCTCTTGCACAAGCTGGAGGCCTGCTTAACAAGGCTAAATGTACAGTCCTGGCCCTGAAGTCGGAGAAGCTAGAGAGAGATCAACGGGAAGACAGAGTAACTGCTGGTCCACAGCTGCCTCACACCAGTGAGGGGAGTCAGCACATCGGCAACAACAGATGCTTCCCTCTGCCCTCTGAATATTCCCGAGAATCTTTCAGGTGGCCCACCTTAACCAGAAACTCACAGCAACGGGAACTGTAGTAAAGGTAGTTCATCTTAGCCAAGAAGACACATGAAAAAACCCCAGAGTTCCTCTTCAGTATATTTGGCAAACATATACTTAACACATCTCCTTAAATGACACATAATCCCCAAATAAACACAACAAAGCCTTCTGCCTCCTGTAACTATCCTGCACACAATCAAAAATGTGCAAATATTCACAGCAGAACAAGGAAGAAGTATCCACTACTGTGGTCCACAAAATGAGTCATCCTTTCCAACTGCTAACCTCTTCTGTGATGCTGGCCTTCTTTCTCTGTGCTGTTCATGCCAGTGGACTCACAGATTTGCTCTAGCAGCATGGATAGAGGTTCTACATGGGCTCAACAACATGGGCTTGCGCTCACCATGGCCAGTCTAGCCACCACTGAGTGCCCATCCGCCAACAGAGACCCAGCTTTGAGCCCCTAATTTGATATCATCCCATAATGATATCAAACACTGATTATAGGTTGATTATACTGGATAGCTTCCATTATTGAAGGGACTTTACTTTTTTCTTATTGGAATTGACACTTTAGATATGGATTTGCCTCCCTTCCCTACAGCACTGCTATCAAAACTACCACCTATGGATATACACAATGCTCTGTTCACCATAATGTTTCTCCATGAAGTAATGTTATTACTGCTGAATAAAGAGTTCATTTCACAGCAAATGAAATGTGGGGATGGGCCCATGCTGAAGGAATCCATTGGTCTATTCCATACTCTCCAACATCCTGAGACAATTGACCTTAGAGGCTTCTAAAGACTCAATTACAGCAACTGATAGTTGACAACACCTCATATTGCTGGGGCATTGTCCTCTAAGACATGATATATGTTCTAAATTTCTTTATCAATTTATGGTGCTGTTTCTCCTATTGCAACAATTCAAGGGCCAGAAATCACGAGGTGGAAGTGGGAGCGAGTCCCCCACTGTGCCATTTATAACTGGGATCCACTGCCAACATTTTCACTCTCACACATTTAGGCTCTGCCAGTTACAAAGGAAAGAATTCCTTCATCAGGCAACACAATTTCGTTTACTGAGAGCTGCCACTTTGGACTCTTCTTATCACTGAATCAACAAGCAAAGAAAGTTACTCTGCTAGTGGTTGTGATAGATCCTGACGAGCAAGGGAAAACTGAGTTGCTACTACACGGGAATAAGGAGGAGCAAGTCTGGAATTCAGATTTCCTAGGGTGCACTCTATACTCAAATGTCCAGTGATGAAAATCAGTGGAAAATCACAACAACCCAATTCAAACAAGACTACTAATGGCCCAGATCCTTCAGGAGTGCAGGTTAGGGTTGTTCTTCCACCCAACAAGTAACTGTGACCCACCAAAGACAAAGGGAAGATGGAATGGGTAGTGAAAGAAGGTATTTAGAAAAAGCACCCATGACCATGTGAGCAGCTGCAGAATGAAAACCTGAAATATTATAGGCATTTCTTTCTTATTGATATGGGACTACTTTATGTATAGATATATTTACCAATTATTTCTGTTTATTCCACTCAGTCATCCCTTTGTCTAACATAAGATATATTAATATGGTTAGCTTCACATGTCAGTATTTAAGTTACAGGACATAAAAGGGGAATGTGAATTAGGAGTAAAATTAATTTCACCTTTTTTATGGGAAAAAGGCTAGTGTGTTTTATTTGCTCCTTGGGGGAGGGTTACATGTTTTTTTGGTTGTACATGGGCTAGTTGTATCCAGGTAGGTGAAGGGTACGTTGATATTGCCTTTATTTGAAGATTAAATGTAGTTTAAAGAGAGGTGCCTGGGTGCCAAGGTGACATAACAAACCCACCATAATTATGTATTTGAAAACAGGAAAGATATGACCTAGGAAGACCTGAGAGCCTGAAATTACAAATCAGGCTGATAAAGCTAGGATTATAACATTTAACCAGCCAAATTTTCCAATCAGCCCTTTACCTAATTCTCACATGAATACTGATCAGAATGAGAGCTTAATCTCCATGGTGAAAGTGAACTTAAAAAAAAAAAAATACTCTGAATTGATCCCCAAATACCCACCCTATCCCTTTTTGTGTTTTTCCTTCTATGCATCATCCTGGATCTTCCTGTATTCCAGATTACTTACTTTTTGGAGTGAATAACTCTGGACCGGATGTGTTCTTCAGGGTGTAATTTGACCAGTAATCTCTCTCCATTTCATGCAGCAGAGAGCGTCTTTAGGGCTGTCACCTCGCCCGGTTATTTCACACTCAGCTTCCTGTGGTCTGAGAAACCAGTGTTCCCCACATTCCCTCTGGTCATTCCAGCCCCATCAGAACATCCATACATTTCCCTTTACTTAGGGATCCATGTACTTCCCTCTTTCCTCATTAGTTTCTATCTTTTTCTGTAAATCTCCATAGCATAATAAATTTTCCCATCGTCTGATTCATGTCTCTCTTCCTCCCATAGGAACTTCACTAATAGTTTCCCTAGTCTGATTTATGTCCCTCAAGAGACTTTCCTCTGCCTTCTCAGACTGCTTTCCTCATGGACTCACCAATCGTCACCCTGTAACTTAAGGGTTCCAGTAACATGCTGACATGCCAGAGGATGCCTTAGTTTCAAGTAAAGGTTTCTTGTGGGGAACACAAGTACAGTAGTGAAATAGAGGATGCAGAATAATTCCACACTGATACACACATTAGCTACTAAACATCCAAACAGGTCCTTTCCGAGATGCTCATCAGATTTCCATCATAACTCTTAAAACTGCCATTTACTGAGGAATAGCACAGAGGATATCATCTATACAGTCTTTATTGTTTACACCGATTCTCTTAATGACAGAGCATCAGCAGGAGCAAGACAGTGTGTGATTCTGGAACACTCTTGCAAAATGTGTTCGGATTTTGAACTCCATCATCATGCATCAGGACAAATTAAGTAACTAAACTTTTCTTTAATCTGTTAGTTGAGCCTTTGAATCATGCATATGCCTTCTCTGCCCCCAAACATATAAGCCACCTCTCCATCCAAAGATAGCAATGTGCACTTGAATCATAACAATTTACGTTAATGTTTCCTAGTTAAGAAGCTATACTTAATACCAGTGTCATCATCAGTGAGTCCAAAGTCAGAAGAAAAATCTATTTTGTATTTCATGTTCTATTGTATCATTCAAGGCACTCTCTTCTTAGCTTTACACCTCCTTTCCCTTTTAATGAAGTAAGAATCTGGCTCTAGCACTGGTGTTTTGAGAATAAGCCCCTTCCTGACGACATGACGTTTCCTCAGCAGGAATCATAACAGCTAGAATGAGGAAATACCTCGCCTGACATGAGCAATCATGAAGAAAGAGGAGCATCATCTGTGAGAAATAAAACTTCCCTAAACCCAGAGGATCTATGTCAGCTGAGGCAAATTGGGGAGACTAAGTACGTGGCATCAGGGATTCCCACCCAAAGGACACACCCTAAATCTCTTCTGGAAACCATTACTCAGGATGCCAATTAGGCTTGCATTGTGCATGAGATAAGCATTCCCGAAGGGCTTTGCTTGAAGTTTGTTTGTAGGGGTCAGGGGACTGGGATATTTTGAAGACTGTGGCTCAGAAGACAACATGGGAATTTCATCTCCAAGGGCCAGTTAACCATGGAGAGAAACAGTTCCTAGAGTCTCTGGTTTATTTTACCATCTTGAAACCCAGACTCTCTTGCCCCTTTCCATCCAACCCTTTGGAGAAGACAATCCGAGGAAGATCCTGTCTCTGTTGCCCACAGGACCCAGTGGCGGGTTTCCCCCTGTGTCATACCACAGGAGAAACGGTAAGGAATGGAGACTGGTGATTACCAATAGTACCTCCCGTCCGTGCTGCCGGTCATTCTCCAGTTTTTTAGACTACATTGATGTAACATGCGGAAAGACTTCAGGCACAGAATGTTTAAAGTGGTGTAGCTCTACATCTCCTCATTTAGTCCCGTCTCAGTATGCCCTCCTCTTCCTCTCCATTACCATCACCATGAGAGGCAAAGGATCTGTTGAGATAGTCTTTGCTTCTCTATCTCAACTCCGATACTGAAATGTCTTATTTCACTGAGTTTATCTTGTTTATTCTTTGAGTAGATTCACTGTATCACCACTCTCTTCAAAACTTCTGTCTAAGGATTTACTTGGTGCTCTCATTCTTATGAGCATATAATATCCTTCTAGTTAAAGTAGTTATAGCATTTATATATCGATTTATTGAGCAATATTTGACGATCATCTGCTAAGTTCCAAGCACTGCATTGTGCACAGTGACAAGCAGGCAAGCATGCTCTCTTCCCCCGTGAGACCTAGAGAGAACAAATAAATATACTATGTCATGTTGGGTTAACAGTTTGTATTAATCCACATTCTTCAAATGCCAATGACATTAAAACAAAACTTACACTATCTTAAGGGAAGGTTGTGGGATCACAGCAGTGAATGGGGTAGAACTAATCTCTGCATCAGCTAGAGCCGGTTACTTGAATCATGTCAATGCCTTCTTTTCCATCTTTCATCTTGGCTTGGGTCTCTAATCTCATTCTCTCAGACATTTTTAGATGGAGAGTACCCATACAGCTGGAAGCTCTTATGCAATACTTTTAGCTTGAAATCCAATACTCCTCCACCTCCAATTGAGAAAACTCCAGGGAAGAAATCTGTTCAACAGTTTAGCCCTGTGGCCACCCCCTTGGAGCAATCACTCTGTCAGAGCCTGCAGTAAAAGGACAGACCTCCCTGGGACAGGTGCCTATCTCTTGCAGTGGTTGGAGAGTTAGGCTGGTGATAGAACAAGGAAAACAGAGATTGGGAATAGAGTAGTATTACAAAGAAAGTGTGGCTGTGAAGGGGTGACGTTAGAAGCAGGGAAGGAGTGTGTGACAGACAAAACAATGCATATCCATTGCTAAATGATGGTATAGAAAAATTTGCTATGCTACAGTAAAACAGGGAGATCACTGTCACAAACTGGGCCACGAGAGAAAGCCTTTTTTTAAAATGGCATCTAATGCATGAGACAAATGCTCAGGCCTGGTGCACTGGGAAGACCCAGAGGAATTGGGTGGAGAGGGAGGTAGGAGGGGGGATCGGGATAGGGAATACATGTAACTCCATGGCTGATTCATGTCAATGTATGACAAAAACCACTACAATATTGTAAAGTAATTAGCCTCCAACTAATAAAAACAAATGAAAAAAAATAAAATAAAATGGCATCTAAGCTGAGATCTCTAAATTGAGATAAGGATTATCCAGAAAATTGAAGGTAAAAAGAGATCCAGATAAAGTCAAAGATGTACAAAATCCTTAAGTTGAAAAAAAAAAAATCTTGATGTAATTAAGGAGCTGAAAAGAAGCCAGTATGACAGTAGATGCAATTGCAAAGTAGGAGATGCCACATAGATAAAAGCATGAGGAGAAGGGGGAAGAAGGAGAGGGTGGGGAGAAAGGGAGGGAGGGAGAGGTGAGGAAGGAGGGAAGCTAGAAAAACCAAAGAAATGGTGCAGGAGGGAGGAGGAAGGAACAGAAGAAGGAGAAAGGAGGGGGGGAAGCAAAATCCAATAAATTTTATTCAAAGAAAAATGTGAGTTCTTAAGAAACTTTTCAAGTAAGGAATCATCAAGATACAACCACTCAAAGCTGGGGAAAAGAACTGCCTTGACCTGCACCCAAGCCAGGCCAGGAAGAGTGCCTATTCCCACCAGCCAAACTGGAAAACCAGTTTGGAGTACTGGGTGTAATCCTCAAAAGAGCCTTGCCTCAGTGGTGAGGAATAATTTGACCTAGACAAACCCTGTTGTGATTCTACTTAACAAATCCTAAAAGTAAAACCCAAAAGGATCAGATTCCCAATAACTGCATTCCAAAATTTTTTTAAAAACTCAAGAATATTTTTAGGAGTGCAAAAATATCTAACACACAAGATAAATTTCACAATGTCTAGCATTCATCATAATCATAATCATCATAATAATAACCAGGCTTGCAATTAAACAAAATGAATAGAAAAATCAGTGACTTGAAATCTACTCAGAACTGACACTCCATAGACAATTTGAAGTATTCTGTTGACTATATTGATTAGATCAGACAGAACCCTGGTGGTCTAGTGGTTAGGATTCCAGGCTTTCACTGCTATGGCCCCAGGTTCAATCCCTGGTTAGGGAACTGAGATCCTGCAAGTCATAGGACACAGCAAAAAGAAAAAAAAGACAAAGACATTAAATAATTTATTACAACATATTCCATACATTCAAAATGATAAAGATTAAATATGTTAATAAAGACACATTTTAAAGAAGATAATGGGACAGAAAGGACAGAGAAAATATTTGAAGAAATAATAAACACTACTCACTAACTAGACCTAATTGAGAACATCCCCTCCAAGAAAAGAATACACATCTTTCGAGTGCCTATGAAACATTTATCAAGATACATCCTGTCACAAATGGCAGGATTTCCTTTAAGGCTGAATAACATTTCATTGTATGTACATGCCACACTTTCTTTATCCATTCACCTGATAATGGACATTTGGGTTGCTCCCGTGTCTCAGCTATTGTAAATAACACTGCAGTGAACATGTGAATGCAGGTATATCTTTGAGGTACTGATTTCAGGGCCTTTGGATATAGAGTCAGAAGTGGGATTGCTAAATCATATGGTAGTTCTGCTTTACTTTTTTGAGAAACCTCTATTCTATTTGTCATATCTTTTATTCTCTTGATAATAGCTGTCCAAACAAGCGTGGGTTTTGTGGTTTTGATGTGCATTTCCCTGATGATTGTTCATATTGAGCTCCCTTTCTTGTAAATTGTTTTCGGAAAAATGTCTTCTTCAGAAAAATGTCTCTTCGGATCTTTTGCCCATCCTTAACAAGATCATTTAATTTTGGGTATTGAGTTGTAGGAATCCCTTATATATTTTGATGCTGCCTGGCAAGCCACAGTCTATGGGGTCACAAAGAATCGGACATAACTGACTGAGCACAATCCTTTATCAGATTGTGGTTTAAAAATATTCTTTAGAAAAATGTCTCTTCAGATCTTTTGCCCATCCTTAATAAGGTCACTTATTTAATCTTGTTTTTGAGTTGTAGGTATTTCTTATATATTTCGGTTATTAATCCTTTATCAGATTATGCTTCAAAAATATTTTCTCTCGCTCTGGGGGTTGCTTTTTA